CCCCAAGGCAAGAAATGGACCTGGTTTCAAATCCAGGCTCTCTGATTCAAAGCAACCAGCTGCTGAACCCCTTGACTGGTGTTTGTTGAATCTATGGAGATGGGTGGCAGCCTGCATGTGCTGCTGGAGGATATAGCCACAGGATGAGGGGACATTCAGTCAGTTTCTTCTTTTACCTCCTTGATTTTTCTTCTACCACCCCTGTGTCAAGGCTGTTAATTTGCTAGAGCAAATTTTGAAGTAACCACTCGTTTTATTTCTTTATACCCATCATGGATACAAGCATCAGTATGGAATGTTAGCTGATTACCATATGGAACACAGGAACTTTATAACCAGATATCTCTTTTGCCTGTTTTTAACAACTTTACACAGTTATGCGCCGTAACAAGCACATTTCTTTTTAGATGTATTTCATTAGCCATTTATTTACCAAAACAGTTTATTTTTGTGGAGTGGAAACATTATATGTTAATTTAATATAGACAAAAAAGTTTAGTATGAATGGATGACAATATTCAAAATATCTTGTAATCATACAGAAGCAATTGATCAAAGCAAGGATATCCCATGGAACTGTACCACTCTCTTATTTGGATTTTATCATTCTGGAATTATTGTTTTTCAGAAATAATTTTGACACTACAGCAAGGATTCATTAAGATACCTTAACACTTCGATAAGAATTTATTATTAGATTGAGCCATTTTAAATGCCGCTATTCTACCTTTTTTAACTAACAAAAATGGTATTTTCATATGGTTCAAGTTAATAGGTGCTTTAGCTAAAGAAGAAAAGTATAAAATTATAAATCTATATTTTTATTTTTAAATTAAAGATTTGAAACTCGAGTTTCTGTATAAACTGATGGGTAACATATGATTAAGTGCTTTACTTGGCTGCACAATGCTTTGAACTGATAAGTCAAATGAACATGTCCCAGGCCGAACTAAGAAGAAAACCATGCAAGCAGCCAAAGACCTTCATCTGCTGCCGCAGCAGTGCCCTGTCAGTGAGCAAGTAGACAAGGAAGACGAATCATGAGCATGTCTTATAAGAGTTTGACAAAATAGGTTGTAACTTGGCAGCAAACTATGAACTTGCTAAAGGTCAAAACCTGGAGTTGGCACTCTTGTCTCACAGAACTCGCGTATCTTGATGTTTCAAAACCGTCTTCCAATGTGCCCTGCTTATCAAACAGCAAGGCGAAAAACAAGGAACATTTGTGTTGCTCTGCTTGCTCCAATTTAGCCGCACTGCTCTTGGACTGGCAGCTAATATGTGGAAACTGGGTTGCAGGGTTATTCTAAAGCAGCTGAGTGAGCCTGACACAGACCAGGGTAAGCCTAGGGCTTGCAGGAATGTCCTAAGCTCTAGTAAGTGTGCCATCAGAGTTGATATCTGGAAAATATGCCTATGGATCCAACTCACAGGAAGCCATCATGAGCAGAAGGGAACCTGAATGTGATAGAGATGATGGGTTTTCAAACTGTGGACTAGGCCAGGTGCAGCGGCTCACGACTGTAATCCCAGCATTTTGGGAGGCCAAGGTGGGAGGATTGCTTGAGCCCAGGAAATGGAGACCAGCCTGGGCAACATGGCAACAACCTGTCTCTACTAATAATACAAAAATTAGCCTGGTGTGTGCCTGTAGTCCCAGCTATTCAGGAGGCTGAGGTGGGAGACTCACTTGGGACTGGCAGGTCGAGGCTGTAGTGAGCCGTGATTGTGCCACTGCACTCCACCTTGTACAACATGAGCGAGATCCTGTCAAAAAAAAAAAAAGCTATGGAGTTGTAAGAGAATGAACTGGACTTCTGAGAGATCGAACCCAGCAAGGTCTGAGGAGGGCAGGCAAGTTAAGTGCACAGAGAGGAGCACATCATGAATTCAAGATGAAGCACCCTGGGCAGCAGGTGCTGTCAAAGGAATTTTGCCTCAATTATTTCAACATTCCCAATGTAACTGTGTTACCTGAAAAACCTGGGTAAATACCTTTAAGTGAGATGCATTTAAATGAGATAATACTATATGTGATCTTTTATAGGTATTAAGTTAATTCCTTTCTTACAAAATCAAGAATTAATGATAGATGTTCCATGTTGATATATCTATTTTTTTATATATACATATATGTGTGTGTGCAGATCTGTCTAGATATCTACATCAGCAGACTATCAGGATTGTGGATGTCAATAATCATCTGTATTTCAAATTACACTAATTTGGGGTGTGTTTATGTACATTTTAAACTAATACCTCTTGATAACAGAGTATAACTCCTTAATAGTATTTTTCAAATAGTACTCACTTTTTAACTATTTGATGCATGAAAGAATAGTCGGATGAATACAAGCAATTGAGAGCATTTTGTGAACAAATCCAGTTCCTATTCCCAATATGAGTTTCAAATATTTTCTGTAGCATAAGGCTTTACTTCTTGTTTGAAGGTTGGCAAATTCAAGGACTGATTTTACCTGCTTGCTATATTTCTACTAGCAAACACGAATCTTCTACTAACTTTTAGGGATGAAATGCAGGAATAAATTGACCAAAAAAAAAATAGTTTGCTTTTTTAAAGCTCTCTTTAACTTATAAACTAAGAAGGTTTAAATAAAATCAATAAAGTAATAAAGTGAAATGTAGCATTTTTATTTCTTGAAACAAGGTTGTTTTAGGCAGACACAAAGTTATTATCAGATAAGATCTGAAGAAATAAAATCTTTTTTTTAACCTTCAACTTGACCTGTATTTTCTTTATTATCTTTACTTATAATGATGAAAACGGAAAGCTTTGTCATTTTTAACTGAGGGAATGGCCCACCTCAGAAGTCTTCTTATCTTTTTTCTTTTTTTCTTTCAACTTTTATTTTAAGTTCCAGGGTACATGTGCAGGATGTACAGGTTTGTTGTATAGGTAAACATGTGCCATGGTGGTTTGCAACACAGATCAACCCATCGCCTTCATATTAAGCCCAGAGTCCGTTAGCTAGTCTTCCTGATGCTCTCCCTCTCCCTACCCCCACCCCCACCCCCAACAGGCCCCAGTGTTGGTTGTTCCTCACCGTGTGTCCATGTGTTCTCATTGTTCACCTCCTACTTATAAGTGAGAACACGTAGCATTTGGTTTTCTGTTCCTGTGTTACTTTGCTGAGAATAATGACTTCCAGCTTCATTCACGTCCCTGAAAGGACACAATCTTTTTCCTTTTTATGGCTGCATAGTATTCCATGGTGTATGTGTACCAGATTTGAAGAAATAAAATTTTAAGAACATTGTTTGAAAGAGCATTTTCTGTAAGAAAATTACAAGGGAGGCATTTCCTGCAAGAAAATTAACAAGAGACAGGGCTGCTGGCTTCCTAGTCCCACAAATTGTAAGAACTGCAGCTATAGGAATTTTATAATGGTGGCTGATTATGTGAGTGTATGTTTGTGTATATGTGGAAAAAGTAGAGGATTTGAGAAAAAATACTTTAAGCTCTTTCATCGGTGGACAGACTCTGGGATTGGAGAAGAGGAATCACATTGGCTTGATTATGCTTCTAGGATGATATCTTACATCAACCAATAAAACCTCTCTGAGTATGTGCCTACTGTGGAATTGAACTGTGTTAGCTGCTAAAGGTTAATGTAAAAATTAAAACGAACAAGCAACAAGGCCTTATCTTCAAAGACTACATGGCCTAACTGAGGACACCACATGGGTAGACAGAGCAAAAGAGCTGTCAACTATTTTGTCATTAAATGACAAGAGCCAAATTAGTAGCGTTGGGGCAAAAGTCAGAGGGGGCAGAACTAAAATCTTCATGAAAGAGATGGGGATTGGAGGGTAGTGATTCTGACAACCAGGAAAGCAGGGAAGACACTGCAGAGAAGTGGTTTAGAAAAAGGAGCAGAGGTGGAGAAGCCCAAGAAGATCTTCTGGGTTCAGTGTGTCGGTCATAAGAGTGAATGAGATGGTCCCTGCAAGGAGAGAGTGACGTAAGACACTCTTGTGTCAATTGTGGAGGGCTGTGTCAGGCTAAGGAGTGTTAATCTTCTTCCTGTAGGCAATGAGGAAACATTGAAAAGTTTTGGAGAAGGGATCGCCAGAATGAAAGTAGTGGTTTAGAAAAATTATTCTAGTGCTGGTGCAGAGAATGGATAGAATTGGGAGAATCTAATGGCAGGGATACCTGAAAAAAAAGTTTCCAGGAATAATCAAGAAGGTCAGTTAGATGGGCATGGTGGAAAAACAGACAGGTATCAAAAATGATTTTCAGACTTTGAATTTGGGTCACCAGTAGTAGAATACAGAACCACACAAATTCTGTTAAGTTCAAAGAAAAGTGATGATATTGATGAAGATCCCTGAATTGGGTGATCAGCAGGTCCTAAGGGTCTCTGAGAAGCAGGAGGGCCTGAAACTGGGCCCCAAAGTGTCCGAAAAGGATGATCTAGCTCCAGGCCATCCACCACAGTAGTCGTTGAACATGTGGTCACATGTAACTATTAACTTAAAATGTACCTAGTCAGATTGAGATATGCTGTAAGTATAAACTACATACCAGATTTGAGAGTTAGAATGAAAAAAAGAACACAAAAGTTCTCATAACATTTAAATATTCGTTACATGGCAAAATGATATTTTGGATGTATTGCGCTAAATAAAATATGCTACTAAAATTAATTTTACCTTAAGATCGTGTTTCTTATATAGCTACTAGAAAATATACTTACATTGTATTTCTATAGGACATTGCTGATCTAGACCTTCACAGTAAAGCGCACTAGTATAGCACAATACAGCACAGTGAAACAAACACACACACACACTTCATAGTTCAATGATTTTTACTCTATCTATTCAGTCTGAAGTCTTTTAAAATGTGTCTTGCATTTTGTGAGGGTATTTCTGAATTTTGTGAGCAGGGTTTATTGTAGTGATCCATTTGTTTATTTTATCCAAAACTTAGGTTATTCCATCTTACTGAACATTTGGCTCTTTTTCTCAACCAGCAGATGATGCTACAGCTGACAGTCGCAAAACTTACACTCTAACTGATTACTTAAAAAATACTTATAGACTGAAGTTGTACTCCTTACGATGGATTTCAGGTAAGAATTTTTTGGGTAGGGCAGATTTTATGCTTACGTTCATTCTAGTTAGGTTGAGATGTAGGGTGCTTTTATGGCACTCAGAAGAGGTAATCTTTGTTTTTAAAAAGTCTATGGAGAGTTTTTGATTTTTGTTTTTTGTTTTCTACTTGAAGTGCAAAGAGAGAAAGACTGAAAGAAACCCAAGTATTTCTTTGACATGTACAATAAAAAATTAAATGTGAATTGAAACCTTGACAATAATGATGAAAAAATGAATGAATGTTAGTATAATATCATTCATGTTTTCTCACCTTAGAAATGCCTATTTGGTATTTGTGAACTTAAATTGTATTCTATAATTTTCAGCTTATGAAGATGTTTAGTAACAACTTGAAATTTTGATCTGGTTGTTTTCTCTCTTTAGATCATGAATATCTCTACAAACAAGAAAATAATATCTTGGTATTCAATGCTGAATATGGAAACAGCTCGGTTTTCTTGGAGAACAGTACATTTGTATGTTTAATCACATAATTAATTCACGCATAGAATTCTGGGGATTTTTTTCATTACCTTTGAAATCACGAGTACTGTCATTTCTCAACCTGTTGGACTATTTCTACAGCATATGGCAAAGTGGATCTTTCTCTCCTTCTTGAAATGCTCCCTGCCTTGACTACTTTTTAGTCTCCTTTGATGATTCCTCTTCCTCTGCCCATATTTTTAAATGTAAGTGTTCCTTGGGGCTCTGTCTTCATTTGCCTCCCTCTTCACTTTGCATGCTCTCCTTTGGTGAATTTCATGCAACCCCACAGCATTACTGCCCTCCTCTCTGGCTTGACTCTCATATACACTCACTTAACACTAACCTTCTCCCAGATCTCAACTTTAATTTCTAATAGACTGCTGGCTCCTACATGTGGATTTCAAACTCAAAATCCCAAGCTAAACTAGTTATCTTTCCTCAGCTGTCCTAGCACACTGAAAGCATCTTATTCTTTTTCGTGAGTTCCCAGTATTGGTAAAAGTTACTTAATTCTCCTCCAAGCCACTTAAGCTAGAAATCTCAGAATCATCATTGACTCATGTCATCCCCCACAGTAGGTGACAACAGACCCTGTCAATTCTCCATCTGCACATCAGGTATATCGCAGTTTCCATTTCCACTGGACAGTCCTTGCTGAAACCCTCGTTTAATCTTGTGGTAGTGAGTGCTCTAACTTGTGTCCCTATCGCATTCTGCACTCCCCACATCCAGGCTGATATCAGCCCTCCGTCCTTCCCTCTCATTTCAGCCACTGTGTCACCAGAGTATCTTTGTAAAAGATAGATATGATTCTATCACTTGCAAAAACATAGGTCTAGTTCCACATCTTATATTTAGGTCCCAACTCTTTTTCTAATTTGTTGTCCTCTCACCTTCCACTGTCTGACACCAGCGCCCCCACAAACTATATTCAGGTTACACATGACCCTTAAGGAGCCTCTAAACATGATGTCCTTTCCCATGCCTGGCATTTGCTCTTCCCACTGTTGAGAAAGTTCTCTTTTCCTCATCCTAACTCTCGCAGGCATCTTTCCTCTTCGGATTAATCCTTCCCTTTCTGGCTTTCTAACACTGATCACCACCCACCTGGCATCACGGTCATTTGTGTGGGTGAATATGCCACCTCTGCTAGATTAGGAACTCCCAAGGCAAAAGCCACATGTCTAGAACAATACCCCCTATGAAGTAAGTGCACAGTGATGGCAGTGAAATGGAATTGTTCAATTTTTCTTTGTTCTTCTTGTTTGACAGGATGAGTTTGGACATTCTATAAATGATTATTCAATATCTCCTGATGGGCAGTTTATTCTCTTAGAATACAACTATGTGAAGGTAAAAGAAATGCTTTCTTACTGTAACATTTAAATAATCCAAGAGTATGCTATGTTATAACCAATTTCAAGTGTATGGATACTTAAAATTAACATCTAAGTAATGTAATGGGCACTAAAACTCATTAATTCAGAATCAGAGTCATTCTCATTCTTAAAGACAAGTCCAATATTTTAAAAGAAATTCATTTTTAGTGCTTTCAAATACTAAAAAGCACAGTTAATATTGTATTGTACTTATATATACTAATAACATAAGTCAATAAAAATTTTTCCTTATACACATATTTAAAAGTAAGTTTACGTGTCTGATTTGTACACCTAATGGCAGAACCCTTTATTTCCTTTGTCACAGCTTTATGTGTAGTAAGATCCTCTATAAATATGTGTTTTTAAAAGAGTTAAAGTTGGGCATGGTGGCATGCACCTGTAGTCCCCTACTTAGAAGGGGAAGCTGAAGCAGGAGGATTGCTTGAGCCCACGAGTTGGAAGCTACAGTTAGCTATACTGTGCCACTGCATTACAGTCTAGGAGACAGAGTGAGATCCCGTCTAAAAAAAAAAAAAAAGAAAAAGAAAGAATTAAACTTTCCATCCTCCAGAAAAGATTCCACAAGATGGCCCAGACCATCTCCTAACCTTCGGCCCCACCATATGCAAACTATTCTAAGGAGGAGAGCCTCACCACAGATCATAAAGATTCCACCATGAGCACTCAGCTTCCCCCAGTCACCCAGCCCCACTCCACATCCTAACACGTTCAGGAAAGGTTACAGCTTAATCATACATCCTCTTCATGTTTAGGATGGATGTGGATTGCCATAACTTTAATGGCAGCTTTTTGGTTACTCATGGATTTGACAACAGTTGTTCAAGTATAGGAAGTTTTGAGACATATAGTGAAGATTAAAAATTTGTAGAGATACCCTGTATTGCAAGCAAAATACAAAGCTGGGGATTCCCACCCTTGACCTTTCTTTTCCAGGATAAATTATATTGAGGACACACCAACACTCACACACCAACTCTGCTGTGCTCAGGCCAAGCAAACCATTCCCTACTGCATTGACCATCTCAGGATGGTGACTCTCAATCATAACATTTACCCTGGATTTGCTGGGCGGGGCTCCCTTTCCTGGACATGAAGACTCTATGTTCAGTTAAACTTAACTGTAAGTGAATCAGAATCTTGTACCAACTTTAACACATCTGTTGCCAATTAATGGATTATTGTTTGTTTAATGAAGTGCTTCTTATTACTATCTATAGAATACATCACTTAATCTACTTGAGAAACTTTTAAAACTTCCCAGTGTCCAGGTTCAATCCCCAGATCAGTAAACAGAAGTTTCTGGGGTAATGCCAGAATCAGTACTTTTTTCTTTTTTTGAGACAAGGTCTCGTTCTGTCACTCAGGCTAGACTGCAGTGGTATGATCATGGATCACTGTAGCCTCAACATTTTGGGCTTGACTAATCCTCCTACCTCAGCCTCCTGAGTAACTCAGACTACAGTTGTGCACCACCATGCCCTGCTGTGCCCTGCTAATTTTCAATTTTTTTTTTTTTTAGAGATAGGGTCTCACTATGTTCCCCAGGCTGGTCTCAAACTCCTGTCCTCAAACGATTCTCCCACCTCAGTTTCCCCAAGTGCTAGGATTACGGGCATGAGCCACTGTGCCTGGTGAGCATCAGTGTATTTTCAACTGTCATAGGTGATTGTAATGGCAACCAGGGTTGAGAACCACTGAATAACAGTTGTCCATGTTAAAGACTAACATATGAAGGTAAGGTAGAAAGAGAAAGATAATTCCAGTTCAGCAAAAGCCATTTGATGTGCACTAATGCGTGTATTCCCCTGGTGGCCCTTAGTTGGCCAGCCAGGGTTGGAGATTTGTATTTGTTGTGTCACTGGAATTTACCCGTGTATTTAACTGGCTTTTGCTTTTTACACTCTGTCCCCTTCCCCCTGCCATCTGTACTTCAGACAGTAACCAAAGTACTACTTTTAAATTCTAAATTAGTTTATGCCACACCTATGCCACTTACAGTGGCTTCCCATCACACTCAAAATAAAACACCAGCTCTAACCCTGGCATCCTGAGTCCTGTGTGATTGAACACAGTCTGCCTGACTGAACACATCTCCTACCCGCTTCTCCTGCACTCTGCATGCTTGGCCAGTGCTTCTCGCCTCACCTTCACCTGAGGAACACTTGAGGAGCTTTTGAAAAAACATATCTGTGGCCTACCCTAAAGCAACTAAATCAGCATAGCTGTGGGCCTCTGGAGATTCCACGGTGCTGAGTTGAGAACCTGTAAGTGCACAGCTCTTTCTTTTTCTCAAGCATCACCCTCATTCCCATCTAAGGGCCAAAGCACTTGCTATTGCTTCCTCATGGAAGCTTCTCCATCATCTTATGCTTCTCTCTCTTTATTAACTCAGGTCCATATTTGTTGGGTCACTTTGTCAAACATTGCCCGCTGCCACGCTCTTCCAGCCACACCCCACTAATCAGTCTCTGTCACGTTAACTCATTTTAGTTTCATCACAACATTTTGTGATATTTTGTCATTGATTTATTTGCTTATTTGTTGCCTGCCTTATTTGGTGCCATTTTCCCTGTGATTTATTCACTGCCACACCTCTGTGCCTAGGACAGGGCCCCATAGCAGTTGCTGAAGATCATTGATAAATGAATACATGTTTTATTGCAAAGTGCTAAATGATAAAGCTATTGAAAGTAGGGATCTATATCTTCAACATTTTTTCCTTTTTTTTTCAAGAGGGTCCAATAGAATTTTCTGTACAGCATATATATTTTGACTAAGTGACTCTTATGAAACGTATCTAGAAAAAATAAAAGTCTAATTTGATTACATTTCCTTGGAGGTCTACCTTTTAGTGTTTTTTAGATCCTACTATGTGACTTCTCCATGACTGAGTTAGTGCTATCGCTTCTAAGTTGTGGCTACAAATAAATAAACAAGCAAGTGAGTGAGTGAGTGGATAAGTACCCCCACAGTCTGGCATGAATGCTCTCCTAGCATCTCTGCTCATTACCTAGTGCTCTGAAAATCCTGATAATAGTTGTCATCGATTCCATGTTGACAATGTTCCACAACCCTGCTAAGTGCTTCCCATGAATTCTCATGCATCTGAGATTGTTGCTGGCATTATCCTCATTTGTCTAAAAAGAAAATTGAAGCTTAGAGAGAAGCTTGCTTCACATTACACAGTGAAACCTTGAATCCAGGTTAGAAGACTCCAAAGCTTGTGCTCTTAAATGTGATCTTTTCTATCTTTGCATTCAGCTTCTCTTTGCTATGATGCTCTTTTACTCTTTCCCAGCCACCCTCTGTCACTAACCTCAGCCAAAGAATCTCTTTTCCATAATCCTCTCTGCCTCTCCAAGGCCTAATTTATGATTCCTGCGTCTCCCACCCACCTCCATGATATCTCTTGGCACATCCTATCGTGATTCTTTTATTGTCATTTACTATTTCATATCCTCCATTCCACTATAAGCTCCTCCACGGGAGGGACCCTGTGTTATTCAGTAATGTCTGATAGATGATAGCTGCCAGTGTTTATAGACTAAATAGAATAATGAATCTGTTTCAAAAGATGAAGTGAACATACCGAACATCATGGCTTTTCTTTTACAACCCGTGATGGTTTGTCATGCTCAATGATCTCAGTCCATCTTAATATTTTTAGCTGGTACCACACCTTTTGGCTTTAGTGAATATTTTGCTTGAGGTTGCCCAGAAACAAGCATGGGGTGTGTCAAAATAATCCAGGATTCAGGAAAGGAATGTATGACTAGCAAAAAGTAGAACTTAATAAATATTTGTTGACATGAGAGGATAGGAGGGTGAGAAGTGATAAACAGTGAAGGTTAGGAACTCTGACTTTGTGTCTCAGCTCTGCTGTTATATAGCTGGGTGTCCTTGGGATACCTGTTTCATCCATCTCGTCCTCATTGGTACAATTTGAATTTTCCTGTAATTTGGTGTATTTCTTGAACACTCACTATGTGACTTGCACTAGAATAGATTCCAAGCATCCAAAGATAAATAAGATACAATTTCTTACCTCTAGGAGTATGGTAGAGAGGGCAGACATACAGACAAGTACCTTATTTGAAAATATCTTGGCCGGGCGCGGTGGCTCAAGTCTGTAATCCCAGCACTTTGGGAGGCCGAGACGGGCGGATCACGAGGTCAGGAGATCGAGACCATCCTGGCTAACACGGTGAAACCCCGTCTCTACTAAAAAATACAAAAAACTAGCCGGGCGAGGTGGCGGGCGCCTGTAGTCCCAGCTACTCAGGAGGCTGAGACAGGAGAATGGCCCGAACCCGGGAGGTGGAGCTTGCAGTGAGCTGAGATCCGGCCACTGCACTCCAGCCTGGGCGACAGAGCGAGACTCCGTCTCAAAAAAAAAAAAAAAAGAAAAAAAAAAAGAAAATATCTTTAATTTATATATGCATCTATATTCAGACATAATTTTTCATAAATGCAAATATGTGATCATATACATTTTTATCTTCGGTCTTATTTTTTCCCTTTTTCACTTGGCTCTCTAAAGTCTAATATATATCTCTACATATTTTTATATTTTTCTTCTTGTTCATATAACTCTATGAAAATATATAGGATGTTTTTAGTTATTGCTTGGTCTATAAAAATAAAATCCTATACTTTTTTGTAAATTGCATTTCTCACTCAATGATACCATGTGAAACTCCTTCCAAGTCATCTGGTTAGCTCTGATTCATTTTTTAAAAATTAATATCACTTTATTTTTCAGAACAGCTTTAGGTTTATAGAAAATAAGCAGAGAGTTCCCACATACTCCCTTATCCTCCCTCCCCCACTTGCCCCTATTATTAATGTCTTGCATGAGTGTGGTCCATTTGTTACAACTGATGAGCCAATATTAATATATCATTATCAATTTAAGTCCATAGTTTACATTAGGCTTGACTCTTTGTGGGTTTTGACAAACATATGTCATGTATCTACCATTATAGTGGTGGATTCTGACAAACCTATGGCTCTTAACAAACGTATAATGACATGTATCACCATTATAGTATCATACAGATGACTTTGACTATGCTAAAAATCACCTGTGATTCCCCTATTCATCTCTTCCTTCCCCCAGACTCCAAGCAACCACTAATTTCTTTACTCTCTCCATAGTTTTACCTTTTCCAGAAACTCATATTGTTGGAATCGTACAATATGTAACCTTTCCACGTTGGCTTATTTCACTTAGCAATATGTGTTTGAGACTCCTCCATGTCTTTTTGTGGCTTAATAGCTCATTCTTCTTATCTCTAAATGAGGTTCCATTGTATGGATCTACTACAGCTTGTTTATTCACTCACCTGTTGAATGACATCTTAGTTGCCTCCCAGTTTTGGCAATTATAAATAAAGCTGCTATAAACATTTGTGTGTAGATTTTTGTGTGGGCATAAATTCTCAACTCATTTGAATAAATAACTAGGAGTTTGCTGGTAAAGGTATTTTGCCTTGGAGTTTTCTCTATGTAAAGCTTCTTATATCTGGATTCAATTTGTTTATTAAATATAAGACTATTCAGAATTTTTCTCACTTTTGAGAAATTATTTTTTAAGAAATTTTTTCTTTTTCTCTAATTTTTAAAATGTATTGGCAAAAAAATGTTTATAATAGTCTCTTATGATCTTTTAATGTCTGTGGAGTCTGTTGTAATGTCCCATTTTTCCTTCCTGATACCAGTCATTTGTGCTGTTTTACCCCTAAGTTTTACCACATTTGCAATTTTACTAGTCTTCTCAATGACTTGAGTTTTGGCTTTGTTGATTTTTTCTATTGTTTGTTTTCTACTTTATCAATGCTTTTACCTTTATTATTTCATTTCTTCTAATTACTTTGGATTTAGTTTGATTTCCTTTTTTAAAAAAATTTTATTTCCCTATGCTTCTGCAGTCACTGAAAGTTTGACTTTCATCTCTAGCTTTTTGAGATGGTTGTTAAAATATTGATGATACATGTATTTTAATTTTAATTTGTCTTGCCAGGGGGCTTTCAAAAAATTTATAACACTTTACATTTCATCATCAGCGTATGAAGTTAAACATTTCTTCACATCACCATCAGCAATAGCATCATATATCTTTGAAATCTTTTGCTGATAAGATAGGTGAAAAGTGAAAATTTACATTTTTCTAAGTAGGCAATCTTAGCATACTATGGTGAGTGCTAGGGATAATGTTTGTACAAAATGACATTTTTGGTGCACTGTGGTACTGGGAAGGCTCCTTGGAGGAGGTGGTGCCAGAGCTAGGTTGTAGATGAACTCCAGAGGAGTTTGTATGAGATGATCTCCAGGATACTTTTGAGTCCCAAAATTCTCAGAAGAAATGATAAGATATGAAAACATGTGAGAATTATACAATCATATATTGCCAAATCTATCGTTTTGGTCTCCTATAGTGAGTGGCCAAATTATCAAGAATCACAGAAGCCTGAAATGTCTGTTTTCTTTCATAGCAATGGAGGCATTCCTACACAGCTTCATATGACATTTATGATTTAAATAAAAGGTCAGTGACTTCCCAATAAAATCTATTAGGCTTTTCTACTGTCATATTTTTAAGGAAACCCCAATGTGAGTTATTCTTTTTGGTAATGTTTCCTTTCATCTTCTTTCCAGGCAGCTGATTACAGAAGAGAGGATTCCAAACAACACACAGTGGGTCACATGGTCACCAGTGGGTCATAAATTGGTTAGTGAGTCTCTCCAGTTGTCAGAAAAATATTGGCTAAATTTTTCATAGGCAGAAGTTACTAACCCTGATACAAAGCAGTCATCTTAGGAAGTCAATACTTCACTCTAGAATATAGTGTTATTGCCCAAGATAATATTTTACTAGCTTAACAAAATAAATATAATTCCTGAAAGTATCCATTGGGAATATTTATTCATGGGAAAATGCATATTGAACTCTTAAGTTCTAGTTATCTATTGTACTTAGATATTTTCTGAGTCACACCTGCTTTCTGCTAGTTCTGTGTTCTTCTGTGTTACTATAGATATACCTTTAGGTTCTATAGTGCTAGGAGAATGTCAGAAGTCCAAAAGAATCTTAACAAGAGGATCTAATGTTTGTCTGCAGTTGAACTTCTCTCTTCCAGAATGCAACTGCCTTCCCTCTACTCACTCTCCCAATAAAGAAATATACAAGCATATATCATCCTGTAGAAGTGGTCAGCCTTCTCGGTCTTCGCATATACTTTAGCATTCAAATAGTGATGGTTGTGTGCTTCTTATTTTTAACACATTATTAATAGTTTTAGGATTATTTTGGGTTTATAGGCTGTACACTTGTAATTTAAGAAAGAGAGGGAAGGAGTAAACGACTCTTCCTGTTTGAATGGAATATTTGACTATGGTAATCCTTACATTTGCAATAGATAAGTGTTTCTAAAACTCCAGGATAAAAATATAACATGTTATTATAGATATCAATGCTTGTTTTTTTCCTTCTAGGCATATGTTTGGAACAATGACATTTATGTTAAAATTGAACCAAATTTACCAAGTCACAGAATCACATCGACTGGGAAAGAAGATATGATATATAATGGAATAACTGACTGGGTTTATGAAGGTAGAAACTTTAAAGCTTTTTCAAATCAGAAAATCTATAAGCTTTTAAAATAGTTAAGTGTTTCTTTTGCAATGGGAAAATTTAAATGAGATTCAAAATAAGTTGCATTGTTTAAAACGGCATCAAACTTCTCTTAGAACTCACAGCACCAGGTGTCTCCTAGACCAAGAACTTAACTATTCCTAGCACTCCTCTGTCCTCGTTGCCTGACAATACTCCTTTTGTCTCTGGTTTATTGATACAAAGGGCTTTTCTGTGTAGATAGACCTTTTCTGCCTTTACTGGAACATAAAAGCCTCCAGAATAACATCAGATATTTCGCTAACTAGGCCTATCTAACCCAGAAGTTACTAAGGAAAGCTAAATAATCCCATCACATTGAGAAGATGATAAAATAATATCTACAGGTTGGAGAGAAAATGCCTATTTCATAGAGGATTTGTATTTATTTGAACTTGGACAAATTATGATTTCCTGTTTTTAAGAATGAAAAAGCAATTAGAAAGGCTTAGGAAAAAGTGACTAATAAAACTAAAAAAGTTAAAAAGGAATATTCTCCCTTTCAGGATACAGAGTTGTAGAAACTATTAGGAACACATTTTAGAAACTTAGAAAATATTAGAAAAACATTTTTTATGTCTGTATTTGCCAAGATAAAAGGCATTCTGGGGCTGTTCCAAACTGTTCACAAGGTTTCCTCATACTTATTAGAAAGACTCATCTATATTTCATCGTAATATTTTTTTCTTCTTTGTAGTTTAAAAAAATAGTTTTTCTTCATGACTTAATTGTAGTTCTTACCAAGTCCAAGTCAAGTTTAATTGACTCATTATAACAGCAACAACAAATCACACTGAAAGAAAGATAAATTTTCATGTCCTAGAAATAAGTCCTTGACTAAAACTTACAGTGAAATTTACTAACACTAGCTACTTAGAGATTCTTTAACCCTTGGACAGCACAAACCAGTCTCCAGGATCATTGACAAGAGTGGCCTCTTTCCAAAGCTCTGACCCTCCCTCAGAAACAGCTGGCCCTGTGGAAGATAAGAGGGCAGCTAACACTTTCATTCTTTCTAAAGTGGATGATCGCTGGAGGGAGACTTTTGCATGTTCATGACGAGGCCATTCTCATGCAGAACAGCTTCACAGTTCCAACTTGGGCCTCTCTAATAGCTTCAGTTCCTAGAAGGAAATTACTATATTGTCAACACAGAAAAATATGTCCTGCATTCCAAATAACCACTAATTCAAGACAAAGATCACTACCTGCTACTTACACTTACAAGTAATTCTAAAAACCAAAATCTTGGTCTGATTATATTGATTTTATGTAACTGCAGCTGTGTTATAGACCGCAGTCAATGGGTAAAAGTTACAAAGAACGATAAGTCAACTCAGTATGAACAAGTTCTTAGTATAATAGCAACCATGACTTGGAGTCATAAGGGCTGGGTTCTAGTTCTTGTCTCAGGCAATTCACTGGATCACTCCATGCCTCAGTTTCCTTCTCTGTGCAATGAGCTATGAATCATCACTCAGAGATCTTTGTGGAGACTAAATGTGATATGTTTTGTAAATTCTAAATTGCTACATAAGCGTGTATAGATCAATGATACAGATATGAGACAGTCAAAGGAAGAATAGGCTGCTTTACCCGGTAGTAGGTTTTCTGTTACTGGAAATACTAAAATAGAGGCAGGAAAGGGCAATATAGCACGGAGATGAAAAGCATGAGTCAAAGGAGATTTTGGTTGGTTTTTGATTCTACCAATTCTTAGCCATGTGATCCTAGACAAATTTCTGATCCTCTTCAAGCTTGTCTCACTTTATCAATACAGTGGGTTATTGTGAGCCTTAACTGAGGTGATAGATGTCAATTGCTTATCAATACCTGGTGCATAGTTAGCACTCATTGAATGTTAGCTGCTCATCACAATAATTATTATTACATTTTATTACAGTAATTATTTTTGCTATTATTCTTGTTGTTGAAAAAAAGCATTTGGAAATAACTTGTAAGGAAGTATCAGGCATCTGAAAACTGATTAGAATGCATGATTTTCCAACCCTAAGATTCTAGTTTCTATGCTTTTGCTTTTACATTTACACTTACATGAGACTTGTGGAATATATAGGAGTCTCCACTCAGTCTACTTAACTCCTCCCTTCCCGGTTGGTAAAGGAGTTTTCAACATATTAAGAGCCAGTGATTAAATGTCCCATGTGTAGATGCCATAATAATCATAGGGACGAGCTATCTTTCCCAGAGATTGAGAAGAAGCCCAACAATGTACTGGAAAGCAAGATCCTGTCGTTTATTTGCCTCCCTCTTTGATCCTCTTCTCTTACCCATCATGTATAAGACCTTCTTCTCTTATACACCAGAGCAGTGTGTTAATCTAAGGGAGTTTTCAGTTTCTGGGCTGGGCAAGGAGATGTTTCTCAGTAGGGGTCTCAATGGAGCTCCTTGCCGTTCTAAATCCATCCTTCCCACACCTTGTTTGTGCCAAGAGTAGTAAACTCTGGGCACCATATTGGTTTGATAGCCTGGAGCTACACACCACCCACCAGTACCCTGCGGGCTCAGTACAAACTGAGCCCAGTTGGGGAGAGTATGCTGGCATGTTGACTGTTTGAAAATTAGAAAGGAGAATCAGCCTCCTGTGTGAAATTTACTTTTAGTATGTTTTGAGGCATAAATTTAGAGGATTATAAGATAAAGAAAAAAATGTAGAGCTTATATTAAATATTGCATGCTAAAATATTCTAAAATGGTCCAACGGGTTACTTATTTTTACAATCCAGATATATCCTTGAAGATTTTATTTTTATTCATTTGTATTACTCTGATTTTGGAAGCCCAGCAAATGCAAAGTGGTTCATTAGTTGAACTCTACTGTAATTACTAAAGCTAATGAGAACAATATTTTGAATGCCAAAGCCAATTTATCAGCTACTTCTTGTAACAGAACAATTTATGTCTTTTTTCAGAGGAAGTCTTCAGTGCCTACTCTGCTCTGTGGTGGTCTCCAAACGGCACTTTTTTAGCATATGCCCAATTTAACGACACAGAAGTCCCACTTATTGAATACTCCTTCTACTCTGATGAGTCACTGCAGTACCCAAAGACTGTACAGGTTCCATATCCAAAGGTCTGTGCTCCCGTTCGTACAGTGGTTCCATGATTTGATGGGAAGAGAATGGTTTCATTTAATCCCTTCCTGCTAATGAAAATATTGTCAGTCTCTCTTCAACAGCTTGCTGTGATTACTCTTGCTGAAGTCAACAGCATCTGGCAATTTTAAAGTATTTTTATTATCCCAGGAAAGAGTGTGATTTAAGGTTTTGTAATTTCTCCAAAAACTTTGAGGAATGACAAGCAGAAAAAATGGGGAAAATGCTTTTGAAAGAGATAAGGGGAATGAAAATGTTTGAATGGAGGAAAAGAGAGGCTATAATTGAATCAGAAGCTCATCTCATTTGTAGAAGTTGGATTGTGCCCTAGACGAAGTTGCAAAGCTCGGTTATATATCAGATTGTATTACTAATTAACGGGATACATGACTAGTTTTAGTGGTTCTATTATAGATTTGGCACTAATGTAAATTTTTCATGTCCTACATTTGGAATAATAGTGTCACGTCTTGGTTTTCAAAGCTGTTCTCCCCCTCAGGGTTGCGTGTTTACTAAAATTGAAGAGCCTTGTTAAGCAGTGTAAGCCAGGGAAGATGGAGTTTAGAAGGGAACCAGGGATTCTTCACTAGTACCGTAATAATAATGGCTACAGTATTGTCTGCCGGAAAATCTAATAGTAAAGTGTTTTTTCTGTAAGAAATTTGGAAAAGGGGATTTTTATTTTTACCAACTCACTCAATTTGCTTTATGAAGAGCTGCCATTTTAGGAAGACAGAGGAAGTTAAAAGAAAAAAAAAGATCAGAGACTAAATATGGAGATGTGTTTTCAGTGGAATGTTATTTTTTGATGAGCGAAACTGGCACACACAAAAAAACTCCATAAAGTGTTCTCACTAAAAATATCATATTATTTCTAACTAATCTGTCAATCGAAGATCTATGTGTATATTTAAAAAGGTTTTATAGGTTTCAGTCATAATATTGATTGTAAAGCTCCATCATAGTGAACCTGAATTTAGAGTGGAAATGATGGCTTCCTAATTGACATCGTTGGCTCAGGTAAACTGATTTTTCTGGTGGATGGTGTCTTTGGCAGAACCCAAGGTGTTCTTCATACTGACAGGCGTCAAAGACTTTTGGTCTCAGGGAGACAGGGTATATTTGCAAATAATAGAGTTGATTTTAAGAGGTTTATCTTTGCTTTCTCAAAGTGATAAATTATAAAGGTATAAGCATTCATTATTTAAACAGAAGTGCTTTGGACCTTCCGGTTTTATATATATACTCGGTGTGTGTGTGTGTATTGTGTGTGTATATATATATATACACGTATTCTGTTTCTGCCTGACCATGAAAAGGTTGCATTTCATGACTCTCCCTTATGTTCATTTTATTTATATTAAATTGTTGGAATGTGTCTGATTGTGATAATTTTATGGCCATAATGCAGACATTTTGTGCTGTTTTAAAATATGTGCAATGATGTTACTTTTTTTTTTTTGTCAATACCAATTCTGTGATTGTTTTTTCCTAGGCAGGAGCTGTGAATCCAACTGTAAAGTTCTTTGTTGTAAATACAGACTCTCTCAGCTCAGCCACCAATGCAACTTCCATACAAATCACTGCGCCTGCTTCTATGTTGATAGGGTAAGACTCTTGTCCTGAATGCTTGGCTTGTAAACAGTTTTACACTTTCTAGGGAGAACTTTTCAAAAGTGAATGGCAGAGTGGATCACAGCTGTGTCATGCCCACTGACAGTCATTCATTCTTCCCTTCAGCGACTCTTTCTTGAGCATCTTCACGTCCTCAGGCTGGGCACAACTCTAGAGATGAGGATGACAATGGACAGAGCAGCCGGTCCCTGGTGTCATGTAGCCTACATTCAAATTGAGGGAGACAGACAAAAACCAGATAAACAAAGAACAGTGTAAAATGCCAGTAGTGATAAATGTGGTGAAGAAAACCTGAGCAGAGCAAAACGGATGGGGCTGATGAGGGAAGGTCAGGGAAGCCTCATGGATAAAATGACCTGTGGCAGTGATGTGAAGAGCAGGAGGGCTCCATCCCCACTGATAGCAGGGGGCAGAGGAAGAGCAAGTGCAGAGGAGATGTGCTTGGGGTGTCGGAGGAACTGCAAGGAGGCTGGGGTGACTGGAGCCTTTTCAGTGAACAAGAGAGTGGAGCGGACAAGGTCAGGTCCCACAGAGCCTTGTAAGGCCTAGAGAAAATACAGGAAATCTGTGGGTTAAGTTTAGGGAGCTCCAAGGTCATTTTGTGCTCCAAGACTTCACTTGCTGGAATCATGTCAGTGGTTTGAAATTCCACCAGGGAGCACCTTCAGCCCCTTGTTTATTTTCCTGTAAAGGAACCAATGTACTGGGTACAATTTATGGCTGGCTGATAGCTCCATATTCACTCATTTCTGTTATTTATTTGGTCTTGTTGCTGTTTTTTGTTGTTGTTGTTGTTGCTGTTGTTGTTTTTGAGACGGAGTCTCGCTCTGTTGCCCAGGCTGGAGTGTAGTGGTGCCATCTCGGCTCACTGCAAGCTCCGCCTCCCGGGTTCAAGTGATTCTCCTGCCTCAGCCTCCCGAGTACAGCTGGGATTATAGGTATATGCCTGGCTCATTTCTGTATTTTTAGTAGAGACGAGGGTTCACCACGTTGGTCAGGCTGGTCTTGAACTCCTGACCTCATGATCCACCTGCCTTGGCCTCCCAAAGTGCTGGGATTACAGGCGAGAGCCACCGTGCCCGGCCTGTTGCTGTTTTTAAATAACAACTAGCATACATTGAGTACTCACCATGTGCCAGACACAGGGATTATCACATGCTTTATCTTAGGACTCTTCAAAGTCACTCTGTCTTTCCAACAACTATCATCGTGTGCCTGTTCACAGATAAGAAAATGAGGCCTACAGATTAAGAAAATGACGAAGTAGGAATCTGTATTCAAACCTGACTTTCTGGCTTGAAAGAACAAGCTATCAGACACTGCTTCGTGTCTCTCTCTGGGTGATTACGGCTGGTGCCCTAAGATTCCCGAAGGCACCGTCACAGCAGGGTGGAAGCATCCATTTTCTCTGGGGTTGCATTAACTACATCAGGAAGGCTGTGGGCTGTGCTCTGTGGTTAGTAATGCATTATTTTGGTTAGAAATATCTATAGTAACCCATTCATTTGGGGGAAAATCAATTAGTAAGTTTTTAAAAAATTTTCTGGGTTTGTCCAATGGAGTAAAATTTTACCCAAAGGTTTCACAGTTTGCCTTTTGGTTCCATCCAGTCACCTCTTTAATCATCATTGATGGGCAGCCTCTGTTTCTACTGCCAAATGTCCATAGAAAGCCTGTGCCCTTGTAGCACTTATCATCAGTAGATGATAGAAAACATTCAGATAAATGCCCCCAGGAGTGATAGGAGACGTATGAGCAATAGAATGGAGGCATTCTGAGGAGAAGAACATGGGCTTTTCATGACCCCAGGACCAAAGAATGCCCCCTGGAGAATGTGCCGATTGAGCAGGCTGGCTTCCAGCAGGGCGCAGTGAGGTGGAAGGACACTGAGGTGGAAAAAACAGAGCATGGAAAAGTCAGAGCTTCCCAGGAGAAGACCAGTGGAGCCTGGTGTTGCCTTTTGGTCTGTCACCAATATCTGCCTGTAGGGAGGATGAGCCATGAGCACCTGCTCTGAAAAAGATTCCATCTGGAAGGGGCTTTAGACCTTATGAATGGTTTACAAACTTTTTAAGGACCTGGAACCCTTTGTTCAAGTGAGATATAATACAGAAGTGTATGGCCAGAAAGCAAATGGGAGATTGCTTCTCAGTTTTGGCAGGCCTAGTCCTTGTCCTCCCTCCTTCGCCCAACAGTCCTGGGAGCTTAGATAGAATCTGGAGTGGTTCCAGGACACAGTCACAACACCATTGTGAGGCACAGGTGAGAGAACCTCCCACTTTACCGAGAGAGGTAAAGTCATTTGCTCAAGGTCACACAGCAAATGAGTGTGGAAGCTGGGAAAAGGACCGAGGCCTATGCCTGCTGGACCAAAATATTTGAATAATTTAGTTAAAAATGTATTGAGTCCTTCTCATGGGCTGGGACTGTGCTCAGTGCTCTGCTCTTGCTGTCTCATTTATTCTCCAAAGAGACGAAGTCTTTCCCACTTAGAGATCCCTTTCCAAGGCACAGCTGTGTGAAGTGCTGGGCTCAAGAAACAAGCAATTCTCAGGACGGATTTTTGGCCTTATGTGAATTCGTCAATAAGTTCTTGTTCTCAGTAGTTCTTTAAGTCACACTTAAGCCTCACTATGGAGATTTTGTGTGGAATGTATATTACCAGAGAATATTGTTTTTTGGAAATGCCACAGGAACGTGTTTTTTAGGGAATTTAAAATATAGCTCTGGTCTCCGTTAACACTGGTAAGGTTGTGGTTTTTCTAGAACTAGACTCTAGATGCTCTCTGGAAAAAATGTGCTAGTACATGATGATGCACCGTTTTCTGGCCTCATGCAAAGATCCAGCAGGGCCAAGTAAATCCAGGTGAGTTATGCCTCTTAGTAACCTGCCCAGCCTGTTACCCGGTGATTTACTAGTTCCTGGAGTGGGAAGCCTGGCCAGGATCAGTGCCTCTCCTCCTTTCTCTGCCCATGTTTCCCTCGTTAGTTTTCCTGTTAGGCCGTATGTCTTCACCACAGAGCCTGCAGCAAGTGATATCCACAGGAGTATGAGGCTGGTTTGTGATTTTGTTAGGAATTAGCAGAAATGGGTGGAAGCCCTGCTTCTCTGATAACAAGTGAGAAGGGCAGACAGGCTGCGTTTCCAACAACCAAGGCCTGAACTTGAACCAGGGTGAGTCTCCCTGCTACCTGCATTGATTTAGTGCTAAAGTTTAGATTTGCTATGCTTTAGATTTGTTATGCTGCTAATTTGTGTTCATTGTTCATAATGAGAACTGGAAAGCTCAAAAAGTTGAAGGAAAACAGCACATAATGTAAAATCATAAATCTCCTAACTTTTATCTAGAGCAGTACATTCATTGTTGACTGAAGTAAGACAGGTTCTATGCGGTAGAGGCCAATCTTACAATCCAGTGTGTAGCAGGGTGCCTGCGACATAGCACATGCCCAACCAATATTTGTAGAATAATAGATAAGCAGAGGATGGATGGATGGGTGGATGGATGAATGGATGAGTAAGTTATCTAGGTGACTGTGTGTGTGTATAATAGTGGTTCACGCTGCCAGCACCATGGATAGACTTCAAAATGACCTTGCATAGAAATCCCTCCTTTTTATCTCCTCTCTGCAAAATGTTGTGACCTGAATCTAGACGATTGGAGAGGGCATGTTCTACTGCGGTAACCCCACCCAACATCTGTTGAATGGCTCTCGGGCTCATCACACGCAGCTCATGACATACCCCGTCCCTTCTCTCTCTGCTCCTGAATGACACAATATATATAAAGTCTTGCTATGCCTTCTCTGAACTGTTATGACCCTGGCCTATAAAGCTGCAACATCAAAGCCTCAGATTGTCACACAGGAGAAAAAGAAACTGGAAGCTAGTGACACCTGCAAGAGGCACATTAGGACTGGCATGCTACGAATGTGCGGGTGTACGGGTGCTGCAGCACTCAGATCTGCTTCATCTCATCCCACCCATTCCTCTCTTGAGGGATTTGTCAGCGAACCTGGGAGGGTTGGCATCCCCATCAGAGCAGAGGGTGGCATGGAGCCTGCGGCCAGCACTGGCAGTACGCCCGCTTCTTCGGGTGATTCACTGAATTAATCATTCCACGGTCGCAGTTGCTCTTGGTAGCATTTTTCCCTCCAGTATTATTTCCAGTTGGTAATAAATTCCTTATTTTAAGTATCCTTAATGCACCAAAAGAAACATTTACACAAATTAAGGGAATTAATAGTACCTAACAGACATTTATTAAATGCCTACTGTTTGCAAAGAATTATGCTGGGACAGGTGGTCACTTTACAAGGGGATTCTCTGTTGTGTGATTTTTAACAAGTCTTTCTCAGTGCATTCACATATAATTTGCCTTATAGAATTTAGTTTACACACAGCTCTCTAGGAATAGATTTCTTTAAGTGAGGAACTTTATGCTGAAAAGAAGCAAGAAGGTGAAGCTAGCTAGCAACATTTCCCAAATGGATGGGTGGAGGTTTCATAGAGGGAACGAGTATGAACAGGGAATCTGAAGCCAACAGCTTGAATTGAATCCCGGCTCCAACACTTCCCAGTTGGGTGATAGTGGGGAAGTTCCTTAAATCCTCTGCTGTTATATTTCCTTGTCTGCAGACAATGAACTGCAATACTCACCTTATAGGGTGGTCATGAGCTTATGTCAAGCACTTAGAACTGTTCCTGGCACATAGTAGACTCCACATGGGTGTGGACTCATTATTTTACATCCAAAAATTACTCCATCATTTTAGTATTAAAATCAACCGTATTCCCGTTGGACTAATCCAGCTGCAGAAGGTAGAAGAGCTTGCTGGCTCATATGTCTAACCTTGGTAAGTTGTCCAGGCTCTGAGGAAGGCCTGGACTGCAGGGGCGGTCCCTCTTCCACCCCACCAAAATCATTACATAAGAAAACTACTCAATACTGGCCTGTTTTTGCAGAATAAAAGCAGCATGCAGTGTGCAAACATAGATGATAATACTGCTGGCTGGATTTTTCTGGTTTTAAGTGGGACTTAAACTTTTCAGTAAAAAGGACAATTGAGCCATTGGCTTTATTTATTTATTTATCTATTTATTTTGAGACCGGGTCTTGCTGTGTCGCCCAGGCTGGGGTGCAATGGCATGATCTCAGCTCAATGCAACCTCTGTCTCCCAGGTTCAATTAGTTCTCCTGCCTCCGCCTCCTGAGTGGCTGTGATTACAGATGCGCCCTACCACGCCTGACTAATTTTTGTATTTTTAGTAGACACAGGGGATCACCATGTTGGCCAGGCTAGTCTCGAACTCCTGACCTCAAATGATCCACCTGCGTTGGCCTCCCTAAGTGCTGCTGTTACAGGCATGAGTCACTACGCCCGGCAGGTTTTTTTTTTTTTTTTTTTAAATGATTCTTTGACATCTCAGACTGGCATAATCTTGGCTCAGGGCTGCCACTGAAGAAAAGTATGTTTATAAGAAAATTCAAAAATTCCTGTCTGCGCCAGGGGTGAACTGCCTTGCTGAGCATGCACAGGGTGCAGAGTACACCTGGGGTCATGGAGAGTAACCCAGGCCATGCAGGGTCCAGGACCATGAACCTTTGATCTGAAAATGGGCAGGGAGGATGATCGATGCACGTGAGTTTCCTGGCTGACTTCCCAAATTCCATTACTCAATGTTTTCAAATGGGGAAAAGTTGCTTTTATATTGCTGATTTCTGAACTTGACATTTAACTTATGACTTTTAGTAGATAAAACTATTTAGTACTGGGTGATCCACTAATTATTGTTAAAAGTTTTTTCCCCCCATCACCTAACACTTCGCTTAACCAGAACACTTTAAAAAAAGAAGAATATTTCTGGAGCCTAAATTCCTCATCTATGCCCATGGAATTTTCAGATGTTGTATATATAACGGTGGAGAGGCTTTTCCCACCTAGAGGGAGGTACATCAGTTTCATCAGATTGTCCAAAGGGTTTTTGGCCTGAAAAGATAAGAACTACTGATATGGGACAGGGGTTAGCACACCAGGGTTTATGGGCCAAATGCAGTCCACTGCCTATTTCTGTGTGGTCCACAAGTAAAAATGGTTTTTACTTTTTTTTTTTTTTTTGAGACAGAGTCTCACTCTTGCCCAGGCTAGAGTGCAATGGCTCGATGTTGGCTCACCACAACCTCTGTCTCCTGGGTTCAAGCAATTCTCCTGCCTCAGCCTCCTGAGTAGCTGAGGTTACAGGTGTGTGCCACCACGCCTGGCTAATTTTTGTATTTTTAGTACAGGCAAGGTTTCGCCATGTTGGCCAGGCTGGCCTTGAACTCCTGACCTCAGGTGATCTGCCCAGGTTTTACATTTTTAAGTGGCTGGGAACAAAAATCAGAAGAGTAATAATATTTCGTGATATGTGAAAATTTAATGAAATTCAAATTTTAGCTTTTCAGTGGAACGTTAAATGAACTCATTCATTTAATTAGGGTCTCTGGGTGCATTTGTGCTACAAAGGCAGAGTGGAGTAGTGACAGAGAAGATGTGGACCACAAAGCTTAAAATATTCACTCTCTGACTCTTAACTGAAAAAGTTTTCCAACCTCTGGTCTAAAAAACTAATTTCAGAAAGCTTCGTTTTCTGTTGTGCTTTTCATACTTCCATTCTCTTTTCACGGATTTATTGCCTGTCTTGGGTAAAGTGTATTCGCCCTTCCGTGTTCTCATTTAGCTCCCCTGCATTGGGCAGACGCAGAAGCATCAGACTGGATGAGATGTCTGTATTCCCCAGCATGGAAAGAGGCGGTTGCACTCGCAGCCCCTGCAGCCTGGCGGTTTGTGATGAGTGCAGTGAGACCTGGGAGAGTGGTGTGGGAGAAGGAGGTTTCCAAGAAGACATCGTGAATGAGGGGACATTTAGGCCAAGACCTAAGGAAGTTAGAGCTTGGCAGCCACTTCAGGCTGAAGAGCAAGACTGAACAAAGAGGGAGCAACTGGGGAACCTCATGGTGTGTTGTGAGAATACTAGCCAGCCAGACTCGGTAGTATATAGGTTCTCCAGAAGCAAGAAAACAGACTGAAATGAAAAGGGACCCCTATTTACGGAAATGCGGTGCTCTGCTGCTGAGTGAAGGGGTTCGGTCTTGTTTCAGTACCTGCGGCTTGCAGCAGGGTAGCATGGAAGCCCGTTATCACTAGGCACATTCGCACATTAAGTGTTCCCAGCTGTGAAATGGGGATGATGAAGCTGTGAGGGGCTTAAAGGGCTTTACCCAGCACCTGACCCATCCCAAGTGCCCAGTAAATGTTTGTTGTGTGATTAGGTGTCTGCGAAGGGAGTGGAGATGGGAATTGATCTATGAATTCCGAGGAAGGACAAAGCTATAGTCCTTCAGTACGACAATATGACAGTTCCCACAGGTCAGCAGAGGGCTTTCCTTTCTTCAGTGCTGCATTCCATGGACATATAATTAGTGCCTGTTTTGAGTCAGGCATTCTGCTAGGCCCTGGGGACACCCTGTAAAGAACTTGCAGTCAAGCAAGGAGAAGGGCAGGCCCAGTCTGTAAAGGAGAGAGCAAGTGGATCTTGTGAGAGCATCTGGGATGGGGACGAGATGCGGCCACCAGACCAGGCAGGAAGAGGGGGATGAACACACTCATTTGGAACCCTCTGACAAAAAAGAGCAAAGCTGCGATCAGACACTTGAGAGCAGGGATTTGTGAATAGTCATCCAAAACCACACTGGGGGAGGAGGAGGGAGCAAAAAACATAAAGCATCCATTGCCAATAATGTGAGGGAGGCCAGCAGAAAAGTAAATGATGAATTCCATGCACTTCACTATAAATCAGAAGGTGGTTCCAAAATTTTTTTTTCAGTATGTGTTGGGAAGGATGTACTGCTAGAGATACCTCTGTTTACATAAATTTATGTGAACATACCGCAGGGTTCTTTCATTTCTTTTCAGGGTTCATGGTTTGACTTTTGAGAAATGTCTTTTTACAGTATACTTTGATTTTCAAAGTTTGTGGAGGTGTGAGTCAATTTTTTCCCCTTTGAAAATGAAGTTGAGAAAAGGGTCAGCTGTAGTTTCACCCTAATAGAAAGAATTTTCTGGAGAAGCACGTAAAATGCCAGAAATACTCAAATCTTAGCCAGTGTCCATGGCCTCACTTCCCTCAAGACAGCAGAAAGGAGATGCAAAAACACCACCCTTGAGTCCCTGGCACCACCAGCGGCCAAGTTGAGGACTTGATAAATCCTGAGCTCGCGGTTTGAGTCACGCGTGTTAAGCCACTGTAGAATACTGTTGCTGCTTTTCCTGTTGGATATATTTTAATTTTCATCCCAAATTAAATTGCACTTTAAGCTTTAAGAAAAGGTGAAATATTATATTAAATGGTTTCATTAACCATTTATAATTCTACTTCCCATTAAGATTGATTTCTCTTCACTGAATAAAATATCTATTTGTACCAAGGTCTGGCAATAGTCATATTCATTCTCTCGCTCTGTTCTTCCTTTCTTTCTTCCTTCCAGGGATCACTACTTGTGTGATGTGACATGGGCAACACAAGAAAGAATTTCTTTGCAGTGGCTCAGGAGGATTCAGAACTATTCGGTCATGGATATTTGTGATTATGATGAGTCCAGTGGAAGATGGAACTGCTTAGTGGTGAGACTGAATGGGGATGTTCGGCTTCTAAAGCAACATGTGATCAGAGGGTCTGTGCAGTCGGGGAGAGTGAAGGCTGGGACTCAGGAAATGAGGTTTGAGTTTCTCTTCTTTCTGACTCTGTCTGATCCTGAGGTAATAAAATCTTAAATAAAACTCCTAGATAACCTGCCATCCCGGGGTGCTTCTATTTCTCCTACACTGACTAGTCATATGTTTTAGTTATGGATACTATCACTCGGGAAGGGAGAGGGGGTGACTGGCCACAAGATAGAATCTGATGTCAATATTTTAAAAACCAAAGAGGACCAGCAGCTGCAAGCTCAACAAAGTGTGTTTTAATAAAGATAATATAGGGAATGGGGAATAATTGGCTGAGTGTGTGTGAAACAAAACAAATACATGAGGCCACAAACCCGTTACCATACTGTCACTGTCTTTAAGCAGGAAACAGCTTTAGAATGCAAAGAAATAACTGCCAGTCTGAGAGGGTGGCAATCCTGAGGCCAACTCTGTTCATCCAACCTTGAGGTGCTGGGAGGCTTCTAGCCAGGAGACCACGAGGTCCAATTAAGATGATGGTCAAAGTTAAAGTCCCTCTGGGAGCCCACAGGCTCGGAGGGGTGGATCCTGGAAGAGGTTTGCTGGCATATGCCAAGGACACCTCCCCAATCCCCCTTATCTAGTCACAGACCTTGTGCCTACACACCTACCCTTCCTACTGCCATCCTGGCTAGGCTCAGGGCATATTCTCACCTCCCAGAACTGGAGCCCCACATAACTTGATTCACTTATTTATTTATGTAACAAACATAGAATTCCTGTTATGTTCCAAGCTCTGTGCTAAGCTATGGATTTTTTTCTAAAGTGAATTAGTTAGCATGCCTGCCCCCAAAAAGTTTCTGTTCTAGTTGGGAATATTATCAAAATAAATAATAAAAACTGCCACTTACAGTATACCAGGCATTGTGGAAGCTGAGGATCAATGTTTGAGGAGCTGGCTCAGGTCACAGGACACAGTCAGAATTCAAACTGCAAAACCCAAGCTCTTTGCTTGCTGCCAGTGAAATCCTCATAATACCAAGGTTGTACCATAAAAAGGGTTCAACCAAGTACCACAGAAGGAATAGAGGGCAAAAGAAGATGATCAGCTCTACTGAGGGCAGGCGGGGTGGGGAAGGAGATGATGTGGGAGAGCTATAGAGTAGCCTGGGATAAGTTGCCATGTGCTGAGCAGATAAGGACAGAAGGCCGTATGAGCAGAGGGCTGTGCAAAGGCATCCAATGTGAATAGCTTGGATGATGCAGGAACTAAGGACTGGGGGAGAGGCATAGTGGGGAGCACTGAGGCTAGAGATATAGGCAAAGGCTAAGGTGCCATTCTGGGAGTTTGGACTTATCTCGTAAGAAATGGGGAGCTGTTTCAAGGTTTTAAACAAAAGAGTATCACAATGGGACAGGCCTATCTATTGCTAACTAATGTAGCAGAGAAGAGCAGCAGGATCTCCAACAAGGAGATTCTGGCAACAGACCCCAGGCAACCTGCTGAGGACATGAACAAAGTCCTTAGCTGTAGAGAAGGACAATGAAGTCAAAGAACTAGGTGACAGGGGCTGAAGGAGGTGACTATGAGGAGGGCAAGAATCTAGAATGACCCCCGGGTCTCCAGCTTGGGTGAATAGGTGCCACTAACTAGAAGAAGAATGAAGGAGTAGAACAGGTTGGTGGGACAGAGGAAAACAAATGAAATTCTCTTTAGTTCTGTGCATTCTGGATTTAAAGCACCAGCGGAGCTTCCAGAGGGACCCAGGATATAACTTTTGGCAAGAGAGGCAAATGATCTAATGTAAAGACTTGAAAAATACTAACATAAATAGAAATATATGAATGGATATAGTTTTCAATTATTATAAGTACAGTTCTATTTATATTACCACAAATTATGGCTATAGATTTCATCTTATTTCTCTTTGAAACGCTGTCATTGTGTCTTTCCCTTCCTAGGCACGGCAACACATTGAAACGAGTACTACTGGCTGGGTTGGAAGAGTAAGTATTATAAGTTGTGGGGTTTTATGGATGAGTCAGCTACTCAGCTATTTGATATGCAGTTATTCAAAACTAGGGCTCTAAGTGATACGTTATTAATAGCAATATTAGTTAACTTACTTCTCAAAATTTGTGAATGCTCCCTATAAAGATATCTTTTTGTAGAGAATATATAACACACACAGTTGGAAAAAGTAAGGGGACAAGTGAAAAATCAAAATCAGAGCAGACAAAACGTAACGCACTCCTGGCAAATTGTAGCTCCCAGTGAGTTAAAGGGTAACCATGGCTGAAAGTCGGCCAAGGTGTCCAATGTGGTCGTTGACCTCACATTTGAAGTTATGTGCTTTAAAGACAGAAAACATACGTTCTGTCCCCATCGTGCACAGATGCCTAAGGAGAGGTGACTACAACCAGCAAAAAAATTCAGCAGCAACCACACACTGCCCACTAAGCACCTCTCTTTGGAGGAAATAATACTCGTGGGCTTATGCTTTATTAGGCATCCAGATGCAGAGCTTTATCCAGGAAAGTGTGGTGACCCTTAGGGACTTGTCATGCTTCTCAGTCCCACTGAGTTATATACTCCTTGTACAGAATTACCACCCAGATTGCGATGACCATGGAATATAATGAGTTGATGAAGGAACTCCATTCATCATGTCGCCTTGCATAGTAGATGAGGAATGAATCTCACTTAATTTTTATGATCACTTCGATTAAGCCCCCTTTAAGAGGGAAATAAAGTGACCCCCAAAATGTAAAGATTTTACACCTCTTGGATCATAGAGGTGAGGTCCCCAGTCCAAGAAGACAACCCCTTCCAGCTGGGCTTGGAGCTCCGGCAGCATTCACACGTCCTTTTTCTTCAGGCATTGATTGGGCAGAGGGGAGAGGTTTGCCAACATGAAAAGTGGTTTCCTCCATGGCAAGAGACACGCTACACTTCCTCACGACTCTTTGAAAAAAATATGTTTTTTCCTCTCTGTATTTAACCAGACAGATGCCACTTTTCACACATTTCTACTAGGCACAACTCCATCCAGGGGAAACAGGGAAATGTATTAAAAAGATAAGGCTGTGAACACAGGTCTAGAGAGGGGAATGTGTTTCAAAGCTCTGTAATGAGAACACCAAGTGTACCGCACGCCTCAGCTTGCTCCATAAATGAATTCGCTTTGAATCACTAAATAGAAGAGGGAAGCAATTTTCTTCCTTCCCAAAATGGGAGCTGATGAGAGAGGAAACATCGAGGGCGAAGTGAACCAACAATTTTAAAAGACCATCTCCTACCTGCTCTCAAATGTAGCTAGGAAATCAAAATCGTAAACCAACATATTCCTTTCAGGCTGGGATAGACTCTCTTCTACTTAAACTGCATTATGTTCTGAGTACTGTATTTTATTGAACTGTAAAAAAACGGAAATTTGTTCTATATTTCTATACAAATATTTTTTGTAAATTGTTGATCATATTTAACAAAATGAAAAGGCTTATAATAAAAATATACGAATTTTTTCCTATGAAATATACAACAGACATTCCTTATAGTATGTAGTCCAGAAATGGTTAAATACTAAGTCTGACTTTCGAAAAGAAATATGTGTAAAAACAGGAAAGAAAAATATCCCCAAATTGCAAACCACCCCCAACCTGAAACAATAAAAAATAATATGTCTGTTTCAAGAGAGCACATTTGTGACATTGAGGAAATTTACTGCTCCAAATTGAAAGGTTAATGCTATTTTCCAGGTGCTTGCAACCAGAAGTCATAGTTATCATCCATAGAGAAAAGATGTCTCCAAATCAGCAACAACTTCTATTTATTGTTTTCTACAAGCCTCTTTATATGCATTCTCTCATTTACTGCTCACAAAAATTATCTATGAGTATGGTGTTTTTGTTCACATTTTATAGAAAGAGAATTTTCTTTTTGAGGCACTTTAATTTAATTTTAATTTGGCGTATAAATGGAGCATGGATTTTTCAGCATAGGTATTGGAGAGGACTTTCTAAAACTAAAGTTGGTACTGAGATGAGACCTGTGCTTTAATGTTCTTTTGTTTTCTATTATTTTCTAGTTTAGGCCTTCGGAACCTCATTTTACCTCTGATGGTAATAGCTTCTACAAGATCATTAGCAATGAAGAAGGTTACAGACACATTTGTTATTTTCAAATAAATAAAAAAGTGAGTATTCTTACATAATTTTTATTTCATGTTGACCTGGTTTTTTTTTTTGGAAACCAATTTGATGTGGAAATCTTTTGGTAAGGCGGATCAATGTGTATAAAAATCAGATTAATTTAAACTCCTCAGTGATGTATTGTGTAATGTGGAACGAGGTGGGGAAACCCAACAAGAAAATCCAAGGTTATTTGAATTCCTGATATAAATGATTTAATCCTCCACTTTGAACAGAGAGAGTGTCGAATCAATCTTTTTTTTTTTTTTTCAAAAAAAAAAAAAACACATTAGAACTGCACATTTATTACAAAAGGAGCCTGGGAAGTCATCGGGATAGAAGCTCTAACCAGCGATTATCTGTGAGTATTGTAACAATTGACAGGGTATAAACCTACTTGTCATAATCGTGCCCTCTTTGCCCAGAAGTAGGAAAAAAATCTCCTACAAATAAAGAGTAGTCTTTTTGGAATGTGTTCAATACTTTTTTTCTTTTTAACATACGGAAGCCTTAATGATTTTCACATATGCTTAGCAGATTTGATACCATGCCACCAGGCAGCTCTACCTCTTGCTCTTACCTGCTTTACATTACAAGAGCTGTATCCTCTTTTACTTGAACGTCGTGGAACGCTGAACTAGCAGTCAGGGGCGTTTTGTTAAATTTCAACTGGCAGTGATTTTTTGGAAGGCTTGGAAAGGCAATTTTATCTGTCCATGTCCCGGCCTTACTCTCTGCAAAATGAAAAGCTTTGCAGAGGCTGTCAACTGCTATATATGAGTTGGTAGAAAAGGGGGTGTTATTTTTCATTAGAATCTTAGGCCCTTTTATGATTCTTTATTGGTCTAATCGCGGAGGAATTTGGCCGCCGTCCGAAGTAGCTTTTGAAGGCCTTCTTCAGCAGTGGCTCTGCCTCTCAGGAACGTGGGGCTCCTGCTGTCTAGTAGCTTATGTTATAAGACAGAAAATAAAGCAATCGGGATCAATGAGTGGGGTCTCAATTTCAGGTTAACTGTCCAGTCCTATTTTTTGACAGAAGCCTTCTTTTGAATTTTTACTTGTCACTCTAATTAAGGAAGAAATCCCTGGTTTTACATATTTTAGTCTCTTAAGAACAAGACCTTTCCGTGTAGAGATGACGGAGAAAAATGGCTTCTGGGGGGTGAGGGCCGGGGAAGCAATGGTGGAGGGCGGCGGGCACCCGTGCGCGTGCTCGGTGCACACTTAGGCTTGGGGTCTGAGTGTGGTGGATTGCCTCTGACTTCTTATAAAACATAATTAATATATATTTCATTTTTTTCTCTTCCCAGATACTACATTAGTAATGAATATAAAGGAATGCCAGGAGGAAGGAATCTTTATAAGTAAGAGCTTGACTTGAGTCATTTTAGCTGACGAACAATTTCTGAACTCCATTTTTATTTTTTGCCTTGTCCTAACTAATATTAACCTGGTAATGCTATTGAGCACTTTTTATTCCTTCATAAGTCAATCTACATGTCCACAAAAGAGAATGGCTTTATTCAATGTTTTGTGATATTTCCAAACAATGGGAGGTTTGAGGTTACTATTAATTCATGTATTTATTTCAAGTTAAAAAAAAAGAGTCCTGAAGATTGCGTTGGCATTCTGCTGTCTTTGAAACTAGAATATGGCTTTATTCAGTTCCTTCTTTTCACTTATCTTTTCTTCAAGCACTTAATTTCCATTGTTGGTTTTACAGAATCCAACTTAGTGACTATACAAAAGTGACATGCCTTAGTTGTGAGCTGAATCCGGAAAGGTGTCAGTACTATTCTGTGTCATTCAGTAAAGAGGCGAAGTATTATCAGCTGAGATGTTCCGGTAAGTCTGAGCTCCCTGGGAGGGAGGGCAGTCGCCGCTGTTACTCACTTCCAAGCAGCTCCCTCTGTTCCTTTTGAATCTGAGGAGCTCTTGAAATCACCTAAGTCCCCTTCTCTCCACTCACATTTAAGTAGTGAGCATAAACAATCTTTTCTTCGCCTTATCACTGAGAGACTTGCATAGCTTGCTTTAGACCGAACACACACACACACACACATGCACACACACCCTTGTGTATAACAGAAGCACTTCAGTCTTAAACACATACATATTGTGGGGTTTTAGATGATTATTTTATGCACTCGTCCCTTTCAGTGAGAAAATATATGTGGCTGGTGCATGTCACTCAACATGCTCACTGCTCCATCTTCTGTTGCTGTTGCTATTATTAATTACAAATGAAGAAACCCAGGCAAGGAGTGGCCAAGTGACTTATGCAGGTGGTCACACAGCGAGTTACAGGCACAGCAGGATTCAAAACAGGCCTCTGCCTCCCTAGCACTTCCTTTTAAACAGTATGCCCGGTTACTTCTCAAAATGAGAGAAAGGATCTGGATATTCTGAAAAGAACTGTCCATAGCACAAAAATAAATAAATGTTTTCAAACCAGTTATCTGAGTCTTCCCTCACTAGTATATTTTATTATTATGCTTTTCTTTATGGTTCTTTACTATGACTGTTTTTAGCAATTATTTCTTGGGCATGCACTTTATTCTAAGCACTGTGCTAAAAGCTTTATATTCAAGATCTTGTTTAATCTTTAAGAAATCTCTATCAAGTAGATATTATTATCCTCATTTCCTCATATGAGGAAATCAAAGCACAGCTCTGCTGTCCTAAGTCACAGAGCCAGTGAGCCAGGATTCATCCCCAGGTATGGAAAGTGCCTTCACTGTGTTTCTAACCCAGTATAAAAATTAATATTATCATCCAAACGCATAAAATTAAAGAGCTCACAAAGTAGCTTTTCTATACATTACCTTCCACTCTGCAACTACCACAGTTGGGATAAATAGTGACGATATGGGCTTGTGAGAAAAACACTTTTGCATGCCAGAAAGGAATCGCTTATCCAAGTCAGGCACTGTGCAGATGTGCCGCCTGGCTCTGGGACTCCGTGGGAGTGGGGGCAGCGGGGGGAAACCCATCCCTCGCTAGGGAGGCTGGCTCCAGGGCTCTGCAGCCCACCTGGGCAGAGCCTGAAAAACCCTGAGAGTTCACGGATTTACAGTGGGGAAGGACGTCAGCTCACATTTTACTTTGCGGATGAATATATTAAGTTCGGAGATGATAATGTGCCCAAGTTGCCTAGCAGGGCACAGATTCATTTCCTACTTCATTCTCCTGAGCCCTGTGCCTTTCCAGTAATACTTCTTACTCTCAAATTGCAGCTATTTTAAAGAGGGAGGGAGGAGAAACAGCTAATATGTATTAAACTTCTTATCCATTGTAATATTTATATGTTCCATCAAAGTCAAATGGTAACAAATGATATTTTTGAAAAGTCATGTATACTATCTTTTCCAAAGAAGTATTCATCCAAAACATTTTTCTCCTGATTGTGTTAACAGGTCCTGGTCTGCCCCTCTATACTCTACACAGCAGTGTGAATGATAAAGGTATTTTTTCATACTTTACTCTTCATTCGTTTTTAAGAAAATGTGTTCAATAAGACCATCACGTACTTAGCATTGTGTGATTTTCTTTGGCTTTGTGTCTTGACAGTGAGTTGAACACAAACCTTATAACCTGAAGTATGTGTAGTCCGTCAGTGAATTTCATGTTTGCTCATTATTGCACTGTATAATCCACATTTTTCACATTGTAATGAATGACTGCTGTCTCCTGTGTTTCTTTAGGGCCGAGAGTCCTGGAAGATAATTCAGCTTTGGATAAAATGCTGCAGAATGTCCAGATGCCCTCCAAAACACTGGACTTCATTATTTTGAATGAAACAAGTAAGTTAAATTCCTTTGGAACAGTACTTTTCATGGAAACACCAATGCACTCTAACTATAGTAATTTGATCTGAAAATATGTATTTTGTTACATATAAATCTAATTTAGAAGGTTATTTCTCCATGAAATGTCTTGTCAAAAGAAATACTAGTTTTATATCCTTTTGTCTTAAAATACAATATCATTCTACATAAAACTTATTCTGTCAAAAGGGAAATGATTTGGAGAACATACTCTATCGTTAGTTCACTTTTATCCCATTAGCGACTCTATTATTCTACTAGTATTAATTGTATGTTTAACTTAATGACATCCTAACGTATTTCACCTTTAACCCAAAGAGATCAAGGATATCTGAGATGGTTGTATAAAACAATTCGTGTTTGCTATAAAATATTGAAACTTCAGTCTCAGAAGAGAAATTTTGAATTTTTCCAAACCCTCCTGACCTCCCATAGTGTGGTCCCCGGCCTGGTTGTGTAATCATGGATTATATTCAGAGACCAGTAAGAACAATGAGGTTCTTTGAGTAGAAAATCTTGTTATTTATTGTTTGTTTTTTTTTTATTTTTTCCACTCAAGGCTAACAGCTTATATGAGAAGGAGGAATCAGTTATATTAGGATTGATTCATTTTAGGCTTTAAAAAAATTTAGGATACTAGAAAAGATTCAACACATCTAATTTTAAATATCAGGAAAAGCACAGGAAAGTATAGCATCCTCATGAAGAACAGTTAAGAGCAGTGCCACTCAAACTGAATGTGCATGTGAGTCACCTGGGACCTTGTTAACAAGGACATTCTGACCCAGCGGGTTAAGGAAGGTCCAGGATTCTGCATTTGTAATAAGCTTCTAGGTGATGCTAGTGCTACTGACCCTTGAGCCACATGTGAGGGGCAAGAGCTTAGAGTTTTCCAGAGCTAACATTGACAGCCTGGTACAGAAGGCACTGAATACTGAGATGTGACATTCTATTTCAGTCATGAACACTGGGGAACCCCTGCAGGTTTTCAGGTCAGGGAAGCCACATTAGTAGACGGATGACTTGAGACAGGATGTAGGATGGAGCTGTGGGGATGGGGATGTCCCATTGGGAGGTGGTTATAGCCATTCAAAGAACAGAAAGGAAGGATGAAAGGTAGGTCAGGGAGGAGGGAGCTGGGAAGGCGTGACTCTGAATAGAAAGAACCCCCCAAACTAAAGAGTGTACATCTCCAAAAAAGTGGGACTAAAACACCTTCCCATCAACTAATGCCAATTCAAACAAAGCAGAGATCAAATGATGTATTTTGCATATTCATTAAAAGTATCATGGTCAACTGATAGTTTGGTGTTCTACTGCAATTATAATAGAGACTTAAATTTTGCTCTTATAAGCACATTTAATCAGAAGGCATGACAATAGTCAGCAAAATATAAATTGAAGATAAATCTATCTATGTATTTTACTCCCAAATCTTTTTTTCTTTTCAAGTAAAATAATTGTAACAAACATAAACAAAAAGGAAGATAAATGTTAGATAAAAATAGCTCTAGAGATAAGAATTTTTTGCCTACAGTTTAAATCTCCTGAATCTGGAATAATTTTATTTAAATGTGGAAAAACACTTTTATAACTCATCTTTTATTTGGGAGCAAAGGAAACTGACTCATTATTTAGGGACAAATTTTATTAAACTGATGTTAAATCAAGCACAGAGAATGAAACAGACCCGTGGGAGATCATACAGAACGTACGCAACAGTTTGCTCCATATAAACCCGATCTCATTCTGTGAAACGCAGAGCTGAAAATGGGAACTCAGATTTGCGGTCTGGGATGGCAATAAGAATTACAAAAATGTTATTAAATCAGAATTCTAAAATAGAGTTGGGGCCAACTAAAAATCCTAAACAGCTTCAAGGAAATTCAAGAAGAGGAAAACATTTTGGAGGAAAACTTAGAACATAAGCCATAAACAAACTAGATCAGTAGATCGGATGCCAAAGAACAGAATCATAAAAACAAAACATTAGAAATTCTAAGATGCACTTTTATTTTACTAGGCACCAATGTATTTAATAGATACATTAGAAACAACTTTATGTTTTAACATTAACTAGTATTTTAACCTGAAAGAAAATGTTGTAATATCTTAAAAATGTGCTGAATCCAAGCAGTTCATTTTCCTTTTCTACTCTCATTTAACAAATTGTTAAACTCTAGAAATGACTTGCTACTGAGGGAGATGAGGAACAAAATCCTGTACTAATAATTTTTCTTACCTCACTAATTAATCTTTCTGTTTGTTTAGAATTTTGGTATCAGATGATCTTGCCTCCCCATTTTGATAAATCCAAGAAATATCCTCTACTATTAGATGTGTAAGTATTCAAGAGAAGGGAGTAACTTAGAAATATTGAGTCATATATATTTTTCTCAGTGCAGCTTACTGAAAAATGGAGCCAAATGCATCCTTTCCCTCTTCCTGAATCACTGTTTACTATTTCCTCCTTTCATTGTACAGCCACAAAACTCAACCTGTGTTTTCTCACATCTTCTTAATACAGAAGAGAGAGACTCCTTTTCTGTCATAATGGCATATAGATTTTCTTTTGTTTTGCTTCTCTGAACTCCAAGGGAATTTCAAAGGATTTCTGAAGTCTGCATTTTCATCCTTAACCTCGTGGACATTTTAACAAGCAAGAGATGGCCATTAACAGTCTTTACAGTTCCCTTACCCCAGCTCCCACTGGCTGCCTCATGTTTCTCTTCCTTTAGTTCCTGAAATATTACTGCCGGCTATTTTCTATTCCTTTTTTTGGTGAAGAGAAGTGATAGAGGAGAATGTTCATTATAAAAACTTTAAGTCTGTGAGAAAGTTATGAAGTCACAAGTCTTTGAACAGTGAATGTGAACTCATATGAATTCCAAATATGACAGCTTTGTAAAATATTTTTTATAATCATTAGGAATACACCCTACTTTAATTTTTCTAAAATTGCCCTACGGTCACCCATGATGCCATAATGTCAGACTCTTCCTGTCCTGGCTTGCATCATTTCCTATATCAAAAACAAAATGAAACAACGCTTGTGCAGGGAACTGCTGAATGCCGGGTGCTTGGCATCATTTGCCTTATTCACACAACAAGCCCATGTAGTAAGTTCTGTTGTTCCATTATACGGAAAAGACATTGAAGCTCAGGGACATAATGTCTCTGTTGTTACTAGTAAGAAAAAAGAAGTGGGGAGAGGAAGGGAGGACACAGATACTAGTATCAGACACAGCTTTGATGCACTATATTCACAGTTTCATGAAAACCAAACATAAAGAAAAGAAAAGACAGGTATTTTAAAATTCCAGTAGCACTATCTGATTTTTTTTCAAGTAAAATAATTGTAGCAAATAAAGTCAGTTCATTCGTGACACTAATTTGTTTTAGGCTTCAGCTCCAATGCTAAAAAAGCGTCCTTTAGAGTGATATTTTTATCTTCTTTGACTTCCTAGTAAGTAATGATTTGATCTCCATTAGAAAAGGTTTTTAAAAATGCTAACTTTAATACATATTTCTTTTCAGTTATTTTCCTTTTCCTCTTTTAAGGTTTATATATTTTTTTCTACTTTAAAAAATAATCTTGTTTAATCTTGGGGTTAGGGAATTTGATATATACCTAATATTAAGGCAAACTCTTAATCTACCAAATTTAATATAATTGAGAGGAGCAAGACATTTCACATGTTGTGAAAAAATGTTTGCTTGCTCAAGAAATGCATGAATGCATTTTCCTGTTTAAAGTTAGAATGTTATAGTATTTTGTTTAAAACTAAAGTTCTTTTGACTGACATCTCTAAGTAGAAGGAAAACACTAGCAAAGGTATGTAAGCAGGACTTGTCCTATCCTGTGTGGGGGACAGTGAGCAGATGAGTGGAGAGATGGACTGGGGAGGGAATAAGCTATTGGAGAGTATCCATGTCCAGGAGTCGTGTAGATGGTGCAAAGATGACATATTTAAATGAATTGAAATGAGCTATAAGGAGCTCCTCTTGATTAACAAGCAGAAAAGAGAGCACTTTACGAGCTTTACAGAGATTGTGCACACAGCTCTGTGTAGGGTAGTTGTAACCTGTGAAGATGGCAGATACAAGGGAGTTAAACTTGCTAGTAAATAGAATGCCCAATGACATGCCCGTTTTCCAATGCAACCTGTTTCTTCCTCTGAAGTTTTAAATATTAGCATTCATTCTTACTGCAATCCATTCCACAATGATTTATAGTCATTGTGAGCAAGACTGTGCTGGGTGCTATGGGATGGGAAATGCAAAGTATATGATGCAGAAGTCAAGTCCTAAAAGAAGGAAATAAACTTGTAGTCCAGGAGTATTTGTAAGCTGAGATGGAAAGATATCCAAAGCTGCATTTATTGTTGTCATCATCATTTTTTTTTTATAACACAACTCCCCTTTCTTAACTATTAGAGAAATTATTTCTTTAATTTCCAAGATTATGTTTACTGTTTAAATATTGGCCTATGAAGTCTGTGTTTGATAACTATCTTCAAAGACAAAACTGACAAGTATCTTTGAAGGAAATACACAACCATGGTAGTTGTATTGCTAAGTTTTAGAGGACTCATTCTGGACACCCCATAGGCTGGCACAGTTTCAGGCTCATGATTGGGAAGAATGCACAATTCTTGTTCACGGGGAAGAGAAATGTAAGCATTCCTCATTTGATTCAGGAAAACCATGAAAGCTAACAATTTGGTATTTTTCATAGGTATGCAGGCCCGTGTAGTCAAAAAGCAGACGCTGTCTTCAGACTCAACTGGGCCACTTACCTTGCAAGCACAGAAAACATTATAGTAGCTAGCTTTGATGGCAGAGGAAGTGGTTACCAAGGAGATAAGATCATGCATGCAATCAACAGAAGACTGGGAACATTTGAAGTTGAAGATCAAATTGAAGCAGCCAGGTGAGTGACTAGGAGATGAAGTCAAAGGTCATCTGATTTTTTTTCCCCTTTAAAATTTACATTTTAAAGCTGTAAAGTGTAAATAATTTAAAGTGTTCTGGGATGAATTTGTAATCTTTTATCTTTACGGTAGGTTTTAGTGAAGATGTTATGTTTAGATAAAAATATATTACATTATAGATTTATATGAAGTTAAAAAAAAAAAGCATTTCCTAAATTCATCTCTGTATGAGACTCTAGAAAGGGAGTTGGCATATGTCCTACCACCTTCTAAGAACAGAAACTCAAAATTCATCAGACTCGGGGACAAACTGAGGGATAAATGTACCCTAGTAAACATCTGACTAAACAAGCCAAGCCCATTCCTTCACAGTCAAGAATAAAGAGAGGACTTCAGTGTACATTTACATCACAGGCAGTGACAACTATGAAGTCCTAGGAGTAGCTCCTACAGTCTGGATGAGGGTGACTCTGCTATTTTGGGAAAATTGTGGAGCATAGCCATCATCGGTCCTATGTATAAGGGCTCTGATAAGTATGAACCACATCTCATTCTTGTGCTCTTCACTTATGGGACTATAAACAGATGTGATCTGACTCAAGAGATGTTAACAATGAATGATGGTTACTCATAATATGCATGTTACATGGGAAGTGCTTTACCTACAGGCATTGTCGCTGAAGCCCTGAAAGGTGGGTTTTCTTACCCCATATTTTAATTAAATAAATGGAGACTATTAGGTTAGGTACCTTGCTAAGGTGAATCAGGATTTGAAGCCAGTCTCATTCCAACTCTTATATTTAATTACATTCAACTGGTATGTGGGAAATGTAACTTTGAGTTTCTATAACCAACAGCATGGATGTCTGGGGAAGCATAATTGGGAGGGTGGTTGAAAATGATGTTATGAAATCATAGACTAGGAAATGCAGAAGGATCCATGAATGATTAAGTAGATGGAGAGAGGAGATGACAATTTATTAGGGATTCCTGAGTGAAAGAAATTCTCTTTCACTAAAGTTAATGATTAGCTATTTTCCTTAACAATTAAAAAATAGAGATTTAGAATAAATGGGATACGTTTGTTCAAGAGTGAGGCTTTGATATTTTAAAAATAGACATGTATCTATCCAGATTGCTCCCCTGTGAGAGAGGGCATAGTTTCCAGGGCCTCTCAAATCTGACTAACGAAAGTCCTAAAATTACAAAATTGAGGATCTACTATATACAACCCCAGTTAAATAAGTAATGAGAAGTAGTGTGTTTATACAGTGGAACACACTATTGCAGCAACTAAAAAGAGTTAAGCATATAACAACATGGATGAATCGCATATACTGTTGAATGATTACAAGATCCAATTTATATAAAGATAAAAACCAGGCAAAAAAGTTCAGTGAAATTTTTATGGAATTCAATAAAAGAAAAACGTTTCCTTTTGTCCCTTTGCAAAGAGAGAAATGCCTTAGAGGCTTCTGATAACATGCACAGGCCATGATTTCAAGGATACGTTCACTTTGTAAAGGTTGATCAATTTATACACGAATGATCTGGTGCACGTTGCCGTATGTCTGCCTCCTTCAATTTTACAAAGTTTACATGGAAAAGATGAGTTGGAAACGGTTTTAATTTTTTTTCTAACACTGCTTAACTTAGGGCAACCTAGGACATATATCATTATGTGAAAACACAAAGACTCTCAAAATCAAGATAGGTTAATGCAAAGGTCTGCAACCATCCACAATGCTAAAAATTTGAGTTTCATTTATCAGGTATTTTTAAGTAAAAAAAAAAAAATTTCTTTTGATGTCAGGCTAATATTAAGAAATAGGTGCATAAAACATTTTTCTTATTTCTTTACCTGGATTCCAATTCTGAACACAGTTTAGTGGCAAAGAAGACTTCTTAATCCATCAAGGAAAAATTTATTTTTATTGAGTGCATGGTGCTGAGCTAACTAATCAACACCCAGCATAAGAAGGGATTTATTTAGAGAATGGTGTTTCAGTTCTCAGGTAGGGGGCCCAGAGACATTTCTAAGCCCTACTCAGAAGTTTTTCATGCCCTTATCTTTCTCCATTGCAGGGGCAGACTCTCCCAAACTGAAAAACATCTGGAGAGATTTACATTCAATTATGTAAAGAAAAGTGCATCTGGGCTGCAAATTTTTATATAAAGCTGTGAAAAAAACTGCCAGGATTTGTTTTCTGTGAATCGTACACACACACACACACACACACACACACACACACACACACACAATTTTTATGAACAACGAAAGTAAACCATGTTCATCTGGATCTTAGGTTAAAATGATAGATATTTATCTTGGGTGTTTATTTGATTACTGGCAGCAATTTTTAGTCTCAAATAGAATGAAGCAGAGAACAAATGGCAGGGTTTCACATTTGTGCCTTATCTAAGTTTTCTATACACAATGCAGTACTGATCTGTGGACTTTTTCCATGTGTTTTAGACAATTTTCAAAAATGGGATTTGTGGACAACAAACGAATTGCAATTTGGGGCTGGGTGAGTAGTTGACTGATGAATCTGTATGCATTCGTTAGTGAATATCACTCAGAGTAGGTTAATTTATCTTTCATATATACATATTTGGAGGTGAAAATCACATGTATCAAGTCTTAGGTCTCTGGGCAGTAACCCTACAGAATCTCCACTGAGTCAGGCTTACACCTTTGTTTATTATGATGAGCGAGGGAGGTGAGGTAGAAAGAGCAAGAAGGAAGGAGTGAAAGGGAGGGAAGAGGGAAGGGAAAAAAGGAGGGAGACTTTTTCTTATGCATCAGTCAGTAAAGATTTCGTGTTATTGTTTTTAAATATTCTATAATTGGTACCACCCAGTCACTAGGGTCAGCAAATTTTCCATATTTTCCCCCGTATACCTACCAAGAAAGGGATCAGGGCTCTGAAAGTGTAGTCTTTAAAGATACTGTCCAATTAAGGCCAATTTAAGCCTCCTATACCATGCTTTTTATCTCTAAAGAGGCACAGTATATAAAGATGTGAGAAATGTGGAAACTGCGATTCGCTTACCATATGTCCTTATTCTTTTACCTCCATAAAAATAACTGTTTCCATTCCTTAGTCATATGGAGGGTACGTAACCTCAATGGTCCTGGGATCGGGAAGCGGCGTGTTCAAGTGTGGAATAGCCGTGGCGCCTGTATCCCGGTGGGAGTACTATGGTATGTAATTGCTGCCAGGTACAAAGAGATACGGAGTGTTGACCTCAAAATGCCAGTAACAAAGCCATTCCTTTCTGAGTTTCAGTGTTTTTACAGCGAATAATAGGCTGATTCATCTTAGAGGTTCTTTTTGGATACCTATAATAAGATGATCTCATTTATTCTGCTATTGTGCAAAGCTGGGTGGTATATTTTATTACACATTTGGTTTTTTATCAACAAATTCTGTTTTCCAAATTTCAAAACAGCCCCAATGCTACATTTCTACAGATAAATCGTTCCTTATCTTTACTCTAATTTGATTCTTGGGTTTCACATATTAGCAGAGTGAGAGAAGTGTGTATCTCTTTCCCTTCAATTAAATGTCAAATATAAGTAGGGCTTTGGATGGGAAGAGGAGAGGAGAAACAGTGGAAATACCTATCGGAGGGTTGGTTTCTTTTTTTCACTATCTCTTAATAGGTGAAAGCTACTCTAGAATATGCTCTTGGTCATTAAGAGACTATTATTTTGCAAGGCATCGTACACCTCTAAGACTGCAATTCTCAAAGGGGAGGGAGTGAGCGATGGAAGATGAAGGAGGAGGGAAGAGTCAGGGGTGGTAAGGAGATGAATGATTTTCCTGCACCTCTTCTGACCCCATCTGAAGTCTTCTGTCTAGTGTAAGAAAAGAATGGTTGATGATGAATAGCTCATTAAATATTTTATATCCAGAAATATGGTAGTACCCAGAGGAAAGACTCTTAAAGTCTCTCCCAGTCAAGATAAACCAATGTAGAAATATATTTCTATCTTTCTGTTAAGAAAATTGGAGGGCATAGTTATAATTTGATCTACACACAATGAATTTGTTTTCATAATATTTCTCTGCTTGATATTAATTGTTCTGTTGGATGGCTTGTTTTTGGAGACCTCTAGTGGTCAATAAAATAATGGAGTAAATCTTTGTAAGTTTAAAAATATGAAATGAGAAGAAAACTTCATTTAATGTATATAGACCAACATAATACATAGGAATTGTCTAGAGTTCTTACATATGTGTAAATTTAAACAATTTTATTCAAAGATGGGACAAAAGGAATACGTAAATGGTATTTTAAGGCATATTTTTAAAAAGTTTACAATTGCATTGTGCAGTATTTTTTAAATGTTATTTTTAAAATTTCAGATCTACTTATACACGTAAACCTGGTTAGCATAAATAAGAAAGGAGTATTGTGTTCTATGACAAGCAGAATTAAAGTCTGCAGCTACCTGGAGGAAAATGTGTTTTGCCCTTTAAGGTCATTTTCCCCCATCTAACATACAGCCTGAGATATTAATATTTAAATACTAAAGTTAAAAAAGATACGAGCATTTCACGAAGATCTTATATTTCAAAGTATCTTTAAAAATATTCTATTTTTATATTAGTGTCCTTTAAGTACATAAAATTACATATAGTCGGTTTTCATGTTAATCAAAATGATAAAATATCACTGTTAGTAATTTTGGAGGAAAATATTTTGACTTTCATAGAAATGGCATAAAGTACACATATGGAGCAACTAACACTCATTAGTGTAGTTTCTAATCTACAATACCAGTCATTCAAAAAGTGTTAGAATGTTGAATTTAGATAATATACCCACTTTTAAAATTAATGGAATTGGCTTTGAAATACTTGTAAATTATAGTGAAATTCAAGCCACTAACCTATACAGCACAATGGCAAGATAAAATTCTTAGACTTTTTAGCTGTAATCTGGTCACTTAAGGAGGCAGTTTTCAAAGCAGTTATGTCAGGTTTTTAAAGTTTATTGCGATTTGGTCTCAATAATTTTTTTTTTTTACTGATATTTTAGGCCAAATATATATAATGTATCATTTAATTTTTTTTAAATCAGGCAAAATATGTTTAACTATCCAAAATAACCAAACCAATTATGCAACCTGTTTTTCAACCATATTTATAGATAAAAGAGCTTATGTCATTTCAGCAGACAGATATTAATGTAATCTGTTTCACCATGCTCAACTGTTATACCACAAAAATTGAGGCTTCACCACAAAATGAGAGAAAACAAATGTTTAACTTGCATTATGATGGAGTAGCTGAGCCAATGCGAGGATATATAGCAAATAAATGATAACTGAATTATTTCTTTTTATTATAGTGAATTCCAGCCTGACCCCCAAAATAAAATATGATTTAAATCAGCAACTAGTAATTGAACATTATTAGGGGTCTCCAAAAGGAAATAGATGATCATAAATCAGGGCACATACTTGTATTATAACCAAAAAATTTCAACACAATTGAGGCATTAAGTGACTTCCTAACTAAAATTCTTTGAGAGGGTCATATGATAATGTTAAGATCCCTTACCCCTTAGCACTTCACATTTGACTTTCCTGTAGGTGGATTATTGATTGGATTTTAGATCATCTGGTTTGATCTCCCTTTGCCCCACTGTAAGGGGAAAGTGAGAATGGGTTAGGGCTGAGTGTGGAAAGGTATGAGTATGCAGGGAGCTGGGAATTAGCATCTCTGGCTATATGAGCAAGGCAAGTAAAAAATTACCTCCCATAAGCTGCTTTAGCCACCCTTTTCCTTGTTCATAACCACACAGAGATACTTCTGAGAGTAACTCTATATTCCTATACATGAGTGAAGACATATGGAAACACTGAAGTGGCCCATTAAAAGCAAGAAAAGTTGTTATTGTATGAATTAAACTTTTTTTTTCTTTCACAGATTCAGTGTACACAGAACGTTACATGGGTCTCCCAACTCCAGAAGACAACCTTGACCATTACAGGGTAAGAGATGAGGACCTATGCCTATTTTATAACCTATTTATAAGTGGTTTAAGAACCTTCTTAAGTGTATCTATTCTAGAAAATATATATTTTTATTTCCAACAAAATTCTTGTTAAAAAGAAATAACACAGGTGGTTTAGAGATACTCCAATAGCTTCCCCTACTATATTCTGCATAATTACAGTCTTTATCGTATGCTATATAGGTCACAATATGCATTCATTTAGAAATACAAAGCAACATCAGATAATTACTTTAATTATAAAATTTCAGTTTAGAAAACCTATTAGAAATTCAACGTATTCCTTTAGAGCCCAGAAGACTCTCTAAACCTTTAGCTATATATTGAAATTTCTTACAGTATTATCATAAGATGTATATATGAGACTATAATTTTCTTACTCATAGCCAATTATGTACGGTTTTGTTCACACAAGATTTAAGTAAAGCAGGTGAGAGGTAGGTACAGTTGGGCAGTACCCTTAAAAAGCCCTAAACCTAAATCACTGAATAGCATCCAACAGGCTGGTTGCCTGATGGGAGAACCAGTGGGCAGGTTGCTCTGCAGATGGGCTATAGCATTTAAAATATGGTGTGGGTGCAACTATCATTGACAGCCCCCATGTGCTAGTGTAGATGCCACGGCAAAGCCAGAGCATTGTCTTTGGTGCCACATTGATGCAGCTGGAAGTGCTAGCATAAGTACTAGGGACCCTTCTGGCACTTTGATCATTCCAAAACTTTGCTGATTCTGTTTGTCATGTTAGGTTGGAAAAAAATTGTTTTAAAACCCTGAAACTTACAGCTGACAAGGTAAATCATCTATGATGTTTACATTTTCCAAAGAATGTTCACAATTTTTTCCAAGACAGTGAATTAAAGAGAAAGAAAAACAGTAAGAATAACTTAAGAACACAATTTCTTCTCATCTGTGTCATGACTTCATATTAATACATTGCTCTGAGCAATATCCTTATGTTTTTGTAAGATGTCATCACTATTACTATGGATGCTGAAGTCATCTGATCAAAACACAGTAAAACTCAAAAGTTTCTAGTTTTGCAAGACAAGTATAGACAATTTAGTTTTACCAATTACTTTCAGCTTAATGAGTAAGGGATGTGTATGTGTGTGTGTGTATGTGTGTGTGTGCGTGTGTGCAGGGAGCTGTGATAGCAATGTTTTTGTGTTAGTGGCTATATGACGGTTTTCCTGTCTGTTTATCAGTTAAGATAGAAAAGTAACAATCTGCAAAGTGAGATGCACAGATCATCTACCCCTACAAAAAAGTCCCATAATTACATTGTCCCCATTTCTGCTAAGGGTCGCATTTAATACTTAGGGCTCAATTCTTCCCATTCTTTCTCCTCCACCTCCCATAAGCTGCTTTAGACACTCATTTCCTTCTTTGTAACCACATTGCTATTGTCATATAACCTATCTCCTTTTACAACAATAACCCAATTTGTCTCCCCTTATCCTGTCTTCTCACACTCCAGTCTACTGCGCACAGAGCTGGGAGATTGACTCCCACCCACAACATGTTCATGGTTCCTTCTTGTGTACTCGACTAAGCCCAGTCCTCACTCTTTACCAGGTGTTCGGCGCCCTTCCTACAGTAGCCCACTTTGTCTGGAATGCTTGCTGTTCTCTGAATGTTTCCGTGGCTCTCCCTTTTGTGCCTTTGCCCTCTGCTCCTTCCACCTGGAGTGTCATTTCCCCTCCATCTCCACCCACTGAGAAACGTATACAGCCCTCTCAGTGGAGTAGCATTGTCTTTTGAATCCCCTTTTGATAGTTTCCTTGTATATCTCTGAATCCTCAATTTTATTCCACCTTGAACTGATAGGTATCTTGTACTGAATTTTCCCCTCTTCAGTACTGTTAGCTCTTCAAGGTATACAAGCTATTCAACATTGTATTCTTTGCCTTCCCCTTTAGTGAGTATAAATCCCCAAACCTTTCCTGATTTAATTTAAACACTTTTTGAAGGGAAACATTGTTATACAAGAATTTCTCCATTGCCGCTTTCATTTTCCAGTTCAAATTTTCTTGTTAACGACCCCACCAGACTACTTAAATTTGATTGTCAAAGAGTTTTCTCCTAGAAAATACTGAAAGTTCCTGAAACATTAGAGGTGTAACTGCCTTGGATCCCAATCCCTCACTTGAACATGGTGGATGATGAATCCAAAACGTTCTTTTAAAAAGTTATATTCTAAAAAGTGGAGGCTGGAAGCACAAGATCAAGCCCTAACCCTCACATCTAAGGAGGTTCATGGCACCTACCCTACTTCCTCAAAGAACATCAGCCAATGGGGTATTTCCCCTTCAACCAGCCCTCCCTATATAATGAGATAGGATAATTGGCTGTAGTCTGCCATTTCAACCTGCATACATTTCCAGTCTTTCCTATAGACTCCTCGTTCCCACATAGATCCCCCTCTTCTCCAGCTCTACCCCCCACTGCGGTGGCCATTTCCATCTCCCCCTTTAGGTGTTCGCTGCATGAGGTAGTTATGTAAATAGAAGTCACTTCCTCCTGCCAATGGCAACACACGCACACTGGGTGCACAAAGTCACTCTTTCACTTCACTGCACAGATGGCACCCGAGGACTGTTTAATCCTTCCACGCCAGGAGTCGGGTTTTCTTGGCACAAAATTCATTGCTGGCAATGGACACATTAAAACTGCCAGTACCAGGGAGCTAAAGGTTCTCAATGTGTTACTAAGAGGAATTATTTGGGAGGGCGATAGTTAAGGTGGGCAGGATACAAGTGAGGCAAATGCACTAACTGAATTGTCTCCACCGTGGTAAGTTGCTTCCTCCGAAATGTGGAGAACTGAATCTATGTGGAGAACTGAATCTAAGTGCCTATTTTTGGTGCACAGCAGGCTTTAGAATAAAGCTGCCCTCCTTTGTTTTTTAAATGAGCCTGTGCTTTTGTCTCTGGCAGGAATACATTCAAAGATTCTATTTTCCTCCAAGGCCCCAGCTGCCCCTCTGGACCCCATCTTTTACTTTTCTTTCCCAGGTTGTTTTTCTTTTCTCCTCTCTCTCTCACTCACTCTCTCTCTCTCTCCCTCTCTCTCCTTCTCTCCCTTTCTGTCTTCCTCCCATCCTTTTTGAAAAGACAAAGGAGACAATTCCTTAGAGGATTTCACCACCCTGTGCATTTCAGTGGATCAGAAGGAAATATTTTTAAAGCGGTTCACATTTAGTCTGGATCAGTGACTCTTTTCAGTACACTGAGGATTAGGAATGACCAAAGTGTGTAACAAGTAAGGCCTTGATCTTTGTCCATGTTTTCAGCTAAATAGCCACTGATACGGTGGCCAGAATTATAGCCTCTGGAAGAAAATGCAGTTTTTAATAAAACTCAAATAAGAAAAGGATTTATTATTAGGTGATTGTTGGTCTGGATTTGGAAGAATTTAGAGAAATCCACATCACCAAGAGAAGCACATCACGTGAAATCAAAGTCCCTCTCACCATTGAGGAAAGGGAATTAAAGAGCCATTTGCATACATGAACGGAACAGGCGGGGATGCCATGTGCAGTTGTTCAGCCTGTGCCCTGCTGAAAGCCAGACCACACTCCATTTTCTAAGGCACACACCTCCAAGGCTGTGTCAAACCAGATGGAGCACCCTTTCCTATTCTTTCAAAGCTGCCATGTGGATTAGGGGACCCTGAGACTAAGGCTTAGACCCAATGCAGTGACACAAACAGTGACTCCATAAGACTCTTTTTGGAGATAATCATCCACCTACTGGCAAGAGGCAAGGGAGAAGCACTTTCAAAGGATATCCAGACCTCAAAGAGGAAAGGAGATGTTCATCCCCCCTTATCTCAAGGAGCTGATACCAGAAGCTCTAAATGGGCAGCTAAAGTGGAGGGGTGACAAATCTGAGCTAAAGGGCAGTATAGCTCTATGGAAACATCTTTTCTGCAATGTGTCTCAGTCCACAGCAGACAGATATGGTGACAGGTTTGAGCAAAGGAACCAGATCCAAAGAGGCAACCCTCACAACCAATGTCAATCAGCAGACAGCAGCTGTAGCCACACCTTGCGGAGTGGCCTCCTAACAGTGAGGAATGGTCTCTCATGTGGTCAGTCACAGGTCTTTTAGTCAAACTTGTAAAAAATGTTAACATGTGGTAGACTTTCATTCACCCATTCAAGGTGCCTGGCGTTTTAATCATTCAGAAGTTTATTCCTTGTCAGTTAGAGAAAACAGTATTTTGGGAGAGAAATAAAAGACAGTAGGAAATAAAAGATGAATTTGAATATGACAAAGTAGCCAATATGTATGAAAAAGGCTTGTGGTTTTCCAGTTGTGACTATGAAGCCCCAGGAATTCTATACCTTAGGAGCATGTAGGAAGGGGAAGGGGAGTAGCCGAGAAGTTAGGGTTTCCCCTTCTCCACTCCCTAGCCAGAGGGGATCTAGTTTCACTTATTTCATTCATGTTTTCATTCATTTATTAAGTGCTTCTATGGCAAGTCATCATTGTAAGCTCTTTACATGGGTTATCAGGTTTAATTTTCCTCCCGATCCTCCGAGGTAAGTACTGTGTTTCTATTTTACTGACACAGAAACTGAGGCACAAAGATGTTATGCAACATATTGATATTGAGGGTTAGAAAAGGGAGAGAGGGCACTAATCTGAATCATTAGAGAAAGATTTCAGAAGATGGGGAGGATGAGCATGATGTTCTCAATAGGTTACACATTGGGGGGAGGCAGATCAGCACAGTAGACAAATGAATAGCAGGAAGAGTGGTTTTCTGGTGATGTGTGAAGCAAGTCCAATGAACTGAGGGATAACAGAAGAAGGGCTCTGAGAAGAGCAAGCCAAATGCTGGCCAAGAAGGCAGGACATAAGCCTGGGGAGGGGATGGATTTATGAATACACACAGAAGTATCAGATCAAGGGCAAGGGAAATAGGACCCAAGTCCTGAGCCTTGTTGCCAAGAGAAGAGGGCAGCCTGGA